GTGTGAGTGATGTTGTGTGCGAGACGTTGTGTGTGGGATGTTGTGTGAGTGATGCTGTGTGTGAGATGTTGTTGTGAGAGATGTTGTGTGAGAGATGTTGTGTGAGAGATGTTGTGTGTGGGATGTTGTGTGAGAGATGTTGTGTGAGAGATGTTGTGTGAGAGATGTTGTGTGAGAGATGTTGTGTGTGGGATGTTGTGTGAGAGATGTTGTGTGAGAGATGTTGTTGTGAGTGATGTTGTGTGAGAGATGATTTGTGTGAGAGAGGAGGAGGAAGGCGGAGGAGGAGGAGCGAGGAGGTGCAGCAAAAAAAAACAAGAACCCCACACGACAATGTGGGGAAACATGGAGCTGTTCTGCACCGCACCGGCGCCGGTGCGAAACATCACAAAACACACACACACACATGCCGCATGCCCTCAAGCATCGGCATTTGCCAAAGGCTTCATGGTGTTTCCCGTCCGCTCCTTTTGGAACAGCCAAAGTCCGCTAGCTTGGCGCAAAGTTCCTTGGGCATCGCAGGTGGATATTTTTTGGGGAACATCGACAGCAAACGGGCTGAACACCAATTGCTGTCCTTCAATTGGTTGCTTTTTCAGCAATCCATTGACATCGTCCGCAAAAAGTGAAATCCACATTCTCAGGGACCCTGTGATTAATGATTGGAGCACAACTCACTTGTGCTTGTGCCCATTCCTGGTCGGTCCTACCCACCCATGCCGCTGCCCATGCAGGCACCGTTGGAAGGGGCTCAACCGTCCCAAGTGGCACCACTGGGATTCAGAGATCCTCAAACAACTACACTTCCGAAAACTAACATGGACCCGAGAATGGCACCCTGAAAGACTGTTTTCCTCTTCCAGACTGTATTTGTCAGCTGGTGTCTTCCCGATCTCAACATTACAACACAACTCAGCTGATGTCAATTCATTTGGCAATTTCGATCAGGAGCCCCCCAATACACCAGTTCACACCAGGCGCAGCATCATGTTGAAATCTTTGAGATGGTATGACAGTATGACATCGTTGCGGCTCAGGGTCTGCACCACTCGCACTGTAACCCATAAGCACATTTGCCTCACTTCACTTTGGCTTGTGCTGTTTCTGTCCAGGTGGAATCGATCCAATCGATGCTTTTTAGACCCCATCTGAACAACGGCAGCGTTTCGCTGATCGATCTGAACGATTAAATACTGTAGTCTCTGTCTTCTTAGCCCTTTGTGCCATTACAACATATTTATGCCGAATACGCATGACACAACAAATTCTGCACTCTACTTACACGTCTTCAAGTTGAAACAACTTCTGCAAAGCCACGCTTTTGATATCGCGATGAAGCACCTCAGGGATAGGCGCATCAAACGGTTGTTTCTCTTTATGGTTCCTTGATGTTCCTCTCAAACTATACAAGCTGTCAATAAGACAACTGTCAGTTGCGGATCTGCATAAAAAAACACCTCTTGGCTTCTGTGCCACCTATATACAAACTCTGAAACCACTATAGTGTCGTTAGTGTCGTTTCAAGCTGTGTAGTTCTTTGTGTCATTAAAGCAGAGCCCTAAGTTGTCCCAAAGAACCCCCTTCCACACACCAGAATTACTGCACGACTCGGTATGAATCTTTCTGAACGTATCAGGTGGATGCCAGGCAAAACAGCAATTTGGTGTTGGACAATTGTTGAGCGTCTTGAAACTGGCCACTCAACTGGCCCTAAAGGGATCGCGTGGGAGACAACCAATTCCTGAAGCCGGTGGGATCACGTGCACGACTCTTCAACAGACTCTTGATTGGCCAGACTGGTTCGGTACCAGTTGGCAACATTGCAAACACGGGAATGGTTTGTAGGTGCTCTCCACCATTCATCCATCCGAGTCCCGTCTTCGCAATGTTTGGCCAGGCACAGGTGGCTCCTGTGTGTGCAAATAGACCAAGCCATTCAGAAGGTCTTTGGTGTATCTGGCAGTCAGGCTTTCCTGCATGGACAAGAGTGGCCGGGATGCACTACAGAGTCGAAAGCATGGAGGCCTGCACGGGTGCCACATTTCCAAGCACATGTTTCTGCTGTCCTCAAATGCTCCAAACTGCTGCAGTACAGTGGCCATGGAGCCTCCCACCATGTACTCCATGTAAATGTAAAGGCGCTCATCCTCAAAGTAAACGCATGAGAATCATGAAACATTTGCACACCGGTTGAAAGTCCGGCGGAGAATGACGACCCAAGCAACTTGGAGGCTCGATGAGGCTTGCACAATGTTCTGGAAAGCTTTACCGCTGAAAGAAGTCTGATGACTGCAATGTAGAGAGCCCACAATAAGTCCCAAACATAGAACATGCATGGGATACAGCGCCATCTAAAGGTGCATATGTGCGAGTGCAAACATGCCTGCACCTCCTGCACCTAAGCATCCCGACATATCTCGCCTTTCAGCGAGAACGTATCATGAGTTTCTCAGATCGGAGCAATGTAGTCATGGCCAAGGTAGGTGACTATGCCTGAGAGCCGCAGAGTTAGGCTCTCCATGCACCGAAGGAGCGGCTGGGAGAGCGACACATGACATGATCTGACACATGGTCAATTGATGCAAACTGGGAGGTTTAGCCAAGCATGCTACTGACTGCACCGCCTTTTTAGCCAAGGAACTGGGGTGCTTCAGCTTGGAGCAAATCTCGATCTCGTTCTCCAGTGCCTCCTTGAATTTTAAGTCTGCTGCATCGTTGGTATCGATTTTAACCTCAGCAACGTCTTGAAGCAAGGGTCTTGGTCCACTGCTTGCATATGCTTGCCAACTGCTTCCAACGGAACCTCCTTGACTGCAAACAGCTGCCCATTACTTTGGTCAAGCGCTTGGACGACTACTCCCAGAGAGCCACTACCTCAACAGCAAAACCATGCAGATATGCGAGACTTTTGACTCTGCTCATGTCGTGCTTTGAAACAGCTTCGGCGGCTGTGTCATCAAAATGTAATGTATGATATTGTCAAATGCACCAGCTCAGCCCGCAGCCCAAATTATCACCTCGCACCTCAGTTCCACCCATGCAAACGCCACCTATGTCCACTTTTCGCACGCATGTGAAAAAACCTCGCGATCTGGACTAGGCACCCACTTCATGGTTGACCCATGGATAGTAGCAAGGGAACTCATCGTCCCCAATGTTTGCTCCAAGGCGGATGTGGACAAAATACCTGAAATGGTGCAGTTTTCACTGCAAGCATCTTGGAACATACATCCAGCATACTGAGGGCAGTCATTGCATCCAGCAAACTCAAGGTGTCTTAGGTTTGACAAATCCTTCAACACCCTTTCACATCTACACTAGCGTACGGCAAGTTGTTAGATTAATTTCAACTGTAATATTGGGATATTTGATCACGTTTGTATCTACATGAAACTGTTACGTGGAAACGTTACACGGCGACCTAGAACGATACGCGAGATCGGTTGGTCATAGGGGCTGATATAGGCTGATCAAGAACTGAAAACGGACCCCACCGAGGGTCTCTACAGCAAAAAGGAAGCATTGGAAGGAATAGTAGACCAATTCTCAGAAATGTGAAGCATTGGAAGTATGGGTTTTTACGCTGTCAGGCTGTCGGGCGAAATTCATCACAATCCATGCAGGGCCGGGTTGCTCCCTGACATGTCGAGCTTCGTTGCTCCCTGCGCGCCTCCGCGCGAGGAGGCGCTAGCTCCTCTCGCTCCCTCGGGCTGGAGCCGATCAAGAGCCACACCGTTAGGAGCAGAATGTAGATGGTTGAATAATAAACCTCCCAACTTGTGATTGAAACACCTCTTCACATAGCGGGCTCTCATTCATCAACAGTCTACATTGCACCCTCTCCCTCTGTGCCATGTCCGGTCTGATCCTTTTTGCACAGTCTTTCGGTGTTCTTTGGCTATTGCCATTGCAGTCTTATTGGGCAGCCAGTCCTTTGCTTTTAATGTCTACAGTACTTGTATCTCTTTTCTTGTACTCTTCTGCCAGCGGTTTTTTTGACACCTTTATGTTTCCTTGGTACACTCTTCGTCCTCTGCTGTTCTCTTCTTTTAGTCCACCCATTCCGATGTCCAGTCCAATCACTGCACTCAAGTGCTACCCATTTCTTTGGGCCCAAGGGGCTGCTGGAAGCGCTGGAGAAAGCCTCAGCGCGTGGTCAACCCCACAAGCAGGAAGAACACTCCAAGCTCTGCCTTTTTCCGAGACCTCATAGGCCCACAACATTTTGATGAATGGTGGGTCGGAAAACCACACACCGAAGTCTGTACTCACACACAAACACACACACACACACACTGTGTCACAGGGCTCATCCAGCACCATAGTCCCCGAGGAAATGAGTGACTGAACGGAAAGGTTTAAAAGTCCAAGCACTTGAAGGTGTTTGAAAATTGTTTGGCACATCTGCTGGAAACAGCAGTGGCTCAGAAAGCAGCTGCAAGATGCGGCGGAAACGGGCGCAAGTCTGCGGACCTACCTCAACCTAACCAGCCTGGAAAGCTAGAATTATGCATGCATGCATGCATGCACAAGCAAACAAACAAACAAACAAACATACATACATACATACATACATGCACAACAAGTCCAGGTCACTCAGGCAAAGAACTTGATTGGGCATTGGTTACCTCATTCTCATTGCGGATCTCAGAATTCAAGTCAACTGGGATGTCCCATTCAAGCCCCATGCTCAGCTGCACTTTCACTTAAACCGCACCCTGGAGCCAGTTGTCGTGCAGCAGATCCAGCGATTCAACCCAGCACCTCGGCTAGAAAAGATCACTCAAGCATGGACTCAAATGGGGCAGATCACGCCACAGGCGCAATGGCTGGACATGGAACCCAATGCACTCACATCTCTATCACAAGATTGAGCCACCTAAAGGCACCCAGCTGCAGTACCAAGCCCCTGGCAGACCCGAGCAAACCATGGTGTGGCGCAAAGGAGGCGTTGCTTTTTGGGCACAAATTGAAGTGAGGCTGCAGCAGTATCTGCCCAGATCTCAGCTTGAACAAGGAGTTCTTCTTCGTCTACAAAAGCTGGGTTGGCATCTGGCAGAACACTGGCACAGATGCTCCGGTCACTTTGGAAGCTTTTCAGATGCTTGGACAACTCATGATGTGGACAAGTCATGATGATGAGCGCATCCAGGTTTTGCTCCAGTACACTAAGCAGCAGCGGGACATCCATCAAGAAGAGCCTTGGCACTTGAAACCCAAGCAATGACCTTAAAAAAGGATGAGCTCCCTTACATCAAGCCTTTCCAGATGCATCCCAGGGCAAACAGAATGGCCCTGCGGGTTCAGCAGTGGGGCTCCATATGGCAGCAACGTGACACCGCCTTGCAACCTCTCATCGAGAAAGGTTTTGAACATGCACAAGAGTTAAACCCGCAAACAGAAGACATGTCTGGACCTGCCGGTTTTGATTTCTTTCGTGCCTCGCCGCTTCAGGCGATGAAGGATCTCATCCAAGTCTTAAATCAGAATGAAGCCATGGCCAGCATTCCAAGCCAGTGGACTACGTCCCTTGTTGCAGAGATTGAGCGCCCTATAGCATTGGTGGCTTCTTTGTATTGGCTATGGTGTCGTCTCAGATCACCTTACACTCGTCAGTGGCAGCTTGAAATCCAGCAGGACGACATCTGGGAAAGAGCTGTACCTGGAACAGCATGTATGAACCTGGGAGCTGTCATGAGAGACCTTGCAGTTGATTGCAAGGCAGGTCGCTTGCGGAGGATCATAACTATGAAGACAAAATGTGCCAAGGCATCCCGGAAAATCAAGAAGCTTCAAGTGCTGAAGATCCCCATGGAAGCTGTCAAACTGAAACTCTACAAAGGCAGGCGTTCTAGCAGGTATCAGCTGGGGTCATGAAGCGATAGGACTTGCACCTCAAGTGAGACAACGCATTTGATCCGCCACATGGGGAGGCAAATGGGCCTGGACATTGTGTACGACATGCACCCACGGCACCAAAATCCTCACATGGATCAAGTCGAGGTCTACAGGAAATTTGTGGGCAACTGGCCAGGGCACTTGAGCAGGGATCTGGAGAAAGCATGACTTGCCACAAGGAAAGATTGGCTGGACCACTCGTCGTCATGATGAATGGACCAAACATGGGCACAACGGCCAAGCAGACTTCAAGCTCAACATGAAAGAGGCAGGGTTTCATTTGAAGCAGGAACTCAAACGAGCTGAACAATCGGAGCGCATCCAGATCAACAAACGATCGATGTTTCAAGGAGATCAAGCAGTACAGCAACCTTTGGACTGGCAACCTTGGCAAAAGCTGGCCATAACATTGTATGAGAAGAATGCAACGGTGCAGTGCAAGCTTGGGGATCCAGGACGGATGAAATCAGATTAAAGAGCCAGAGGTTGTGACATGATCACCGTGCCCCCAGGGAAGCAAACCGGAAAAAGAAAGCCTGGTTCTATGGGCTACCTTGGTGGCACACTATATGTTGATTTGAGGCAACCCTTGGTAGTCCATGTCACATCCATCCGGGCGGGCATCATTGCAAGCATGCAGAAACTTTCTATGACCTGAACGAGCTCATCACCCTGGATCAGCGCCAGCTCAGGAAGATGCTGGAAGGCAGCCAAGGAAGTTGCACCCTCCCTTCAGCCCCATGAGATCGAGACTGAGCTGAAGGAGCAGGATGACAAGTACAAGAGGGTGGCACCTTTGGCAATGCAAAGGATTCGACACCTCCTTGAGGACACCACGCACTTCATGCATGCAGCCAGAGAAAAGGGAAAGGAGAAGAGAAAGCAAACTAGAGACCATAAGAAAGAGTTATTCAACAACCTGACAAAGCCTACCCGGCTTGATGGACATGCATGGCAACTCACAGGGCAAAGTACTGTATGCAATGTCAACAATGCAAACTGCGCCCCACCATGCACAGCAAACCTCAGGAGCTTCGGGAAGGTCATCAGGCAGTCTGCCAGATGGCCAGTGGGCTGTCCTTTGTTGGTGAAAATCCACCATCAGTGACAGCAAGGCGGAAATCCTAAAGCAAACGGTGGATGGCACTTTCCAGACATGGGACAGCACACCTTTGAGTTTCAGACCAACTATGTGGTTTGTCCCGCTACCACCAAAGGCTCTTGAGGCATTCAGCCTCAAAGAGAAGGTCATTGAACTTGCCACCACCAAGTGCTGGGACGAAGGGTGGTCAGCTACTCCGGAGTGGCAGGGTCACCCGACACACCGAATGTAGTGGAAACGGGGGCAAGGTTTCCTGTACCAGTTGCAAAGCACATTCTGTGCCGAAGGGGCGCGGATTTGACGCCAGCAAGGCTTTGGTCAAAGCGTGTGGTGCTGGCGCTGGCACTCAGAAAACTCTGCCGAGCTGCTTCCGACCCAAGAAGTCTAAACAAATCACCAATGCAGAAAAGGAGCGTAGGAAAAATCCATCCATCCATCCATCCCTCCATCCATCCATACATACCCTTACCTTACCTTCCTTATCTTACATTCCATTCCATTCCATTCCATACCTACCTACATACATACGTTCAACTATACCATACCATACCATACCACTACAAATCATTACATTATAATTACATTACATTACATAGGAACATGACACTGGCACATACTATATATATAGACAAACACATACATATTTGCACGACACCACATTAAACATAGATTCATTCATGCATACGTTACTTTACGTGACGTGACGTGACATGACGTGATATTAAATACACTACCTTACGTTACATAACACTAGATTAAGAACCGTGCATACGAACCATACACACATCATACCATTGCATACCTACAATTAGATACATACCATTATATATATATACACATACCGTTACATAATGTTACATACATACCAACACATACATACCATTACATACAAACCAATACACATATACCATTACAAACAAACCTTTACATACACCCCATCACAACACATACCAGTACATACATACATAAATACAAACATACAAAGGTACAAACACATAAACACACACACACACATGCATACATACATACATACATAAATACATACATACATACATACATACATCCATACATACATCCATACATCCATACATCCATACCATACCATACCATAACATAACATAACTAACATACATACATTGACATACTTGCATACAAACAAACAAACAAACAAGCAAACACACATACATACATCATTACATCACATCACATCTCTGCTGTTTGCAGAGTGTTTGGATGGGCCATGTCAGCTACGTCAGCTGCCTGTGCTGCAACCGCTGTTTGCAAAGTGGGGTTCATCAGAGGCGCAACAGTGTGCCTCTGAACTTCTTTTCTACCTGCTCGAATGGTTGTGTCTGCCCTCAAGCTGAGCCAGGAAGTTTTCGGATGGACACTTCATGTGAGATCAGGGAGGTGCACATGCATCCTTGAGTTTCAACCTTGGAATGCATTTTGGCCTGACAGGTGCCCCTGACCTGATCACGGTCATGCTGGACCGCTGGCAAGAACCCTTTGACTGACCAGGATTCGGTGCTTGGCCCTGATACGACTCGTCTGTGGCTACGAGATCCAGGAAACCTCCCAATGGTTCATGGCAAATGACGGACATCAGCCAAATTGGACTGAACTCCCACGATCAAACGATGGTGCAGGATGCTTACATCCTCTTCTTGAGCACGGAAAAGGACCCAAAGGCTATGTCAGATGTTGCCCTGGGTTCTCGTTGAGCTGAGGGACTGAAAACTCCTACGAGATCCACCAGAGATCGGCAGCGCAAATCCAACTTTACGTGACTGGCGTCTCGAAAGGTAGAAAAGGTCATCACATCACATCACATTACACTACACTAACACTAACACACATAATTACATTACATTACATTGCACTACATTACATTACATACACTCGCGATCATGTACACGCATCTACCAATCGATCAAGGTGCTGTACCGGAGTGGGTGACGCCTTACTCTGAACATGTCTCTGCCCAGCATGCAGAACCTAACAGTCTTGCCTGATTTGGGCAAAATATGGCCAAATGCCAGCCAACTACATGTCTCAGTCATTACACAGCAATCCCGGCCAATTCCTGCAAATCCGAGCCACTCGTCATCTGATAAGTTGTCCTTGTCAAACTCATGGTGCCCTATGGGGACCTGGGCACTCTGCGCATCGTGGGACTCTCGGAGACTCCACTTCTCTGCAACAGTTGAGCAACGCGACGTGGTCTACAACACATGTGACAACACATGTAGTGGTCCCAAAATAGATAGAAACGGTTTCCAATACGTTTTTTAGTGGGATCTACTTTTCTTTCTATTTTGGTGTCTATATAACAGCTTAGGCATCTGCACTGGGAGCAGCTTGACTCGGGAAATGGTCCAAAGTCTGCTCCTGGGCGTAGGACGTACTGTCGAAAACCCGTACTCAGCAGCATGGACGCAAAATTGAACTGTTGAAAACCACCAAACCAACGGGCGCCGATATGCCTTCTTCATGACCTCCTCCACTGGTCGTGGTGGTGGCGGCGGCGGCCGGATTGCGTTCTCCACGTGCACGGGAGAGGCAACAGTGCCTGGAACCTGCTAAACTGTGCAAAAAGTGAAAAATCATTGTGCACTCTGGAGGCATGTTATTCTCGCTTGATGTCTGCTGCAGCTGAAGCTGATGAACACTGGAGGAATTGCTCAATGCCTTTGATGCCAAGCAAGTACATAGAATGCCGATTGAAATTAAAACTCCCTGTTTCTAGAGAAACGGTCTTTCAGCGCCAGTTTTCCCAGGGTTCTTAGTCAAAAAATGTGCTGTCAACTCCATCTACCATCTACCTTCCTGTCTTCTTATAAAGTTCATTCTCAACATCATCCAGTCATCAGCATCAGCATCAGCATCAGCATCATCATCATCATCATCATCATCATCATCATCATCATCATCATCATCATCATCATCATCTCATCACAGCACCATAAAAATGCATGGGTGCATGCGCATTACTGGTGTGAACCAGACTTCTACAAAACAGACCTGCAGTCACCATTGCATCAACATGAACATAGATACAAGTGTACAAACATTGAAATCTTAAAGGGACATGACAACAACTTCTACAACTTCCTTAATCGTGGCTGTCTGTCACGCGCCCGAAGGGTCGGTCGATCCTGGAAGGCCACGGCGGTGAATCGGGAAGCGAGTCAGGTCGCGGCGAGTCTCAGTCTTGCGGTGAAGTCAGAAAGAAGACTGAACACCGTGGTAGACCAAAGAAGCCGGCAAAGGGGAGGATGAACTATTACGCGCACATGCACACACAAAACAACAAATCATATCACAGTAACCAACATTCTTCATTCATCTGCATCGTCAGCATTATTCAAAATATAATGTCATCCATCCTCATCTCTTATCTCTACGTTTTCAGAGGCCTTGTCTGCAACGCGCACTTTCGTTACGCCTGCTTTTGCTTCTCTGTTGATTGGGAGGAGGGAGTTCTTCCCCTGGGGTTGCTGATGCGGAAACCGTCAACGCCTCCCATCGACGCATCGCACTCAACGGAGGCTCCGGAGGGAGAAAATGCAGCGAGGCGCCAGTACCTTCATGACTCATCATGACTCAGCCAGAGGTTTTCTGGATTCCAGGTGAAGCGCACTTTCCACCTTCATGTTGAGTTCAACCAACTCCCTCAAAAAGGTTTTGCACGGTGATCCACTTTTGCTGGGTGGTAGGAAAGGTTGAAACGACTCATCCCGACCAGAATGGATTGATATTTTTCCGGATTTTTTTCATACTTTTTGCGGATTTATATTCACGTTTTTTCCCCTACTGTTTTTGCTTTTGCTTCTGCTGGGAGTGCTTTACAAGCACTAGGAGCAGCAGAAAGGGCAGGGGACGAAGCACCAGAGCCAGCGTGACAGTGACAAAGGGAGGGAACAGAAAAGGTCTTCCACTTACTAGGGGCTTCTTTGCGGTAGTCTTTAGCTTCACTCACTGGTTTCGGGTTTCTTTGGGCTCGGTTTCTTGTCTTTAGGGTTTCTTTAGCCGTTCTTCCGGAAAAGGCATCCCACTTAACGAAGGAGAAGTAGGAGGAGAGAGGAACTATAATAGGGACTTTTCTGCGGTTGTCTTTGGGTTTCAGTGGTTTCGGGTTTCTTTGGGCTAGGCAAAGTAGAAATCCACCTTTGTGGCAGCGTCAACGCAAAGAAAATAGTAGTTGTGGTAACTGTGGTAAGACTCGTAGCGGGGTGGTCCGCGTGATAGATGTATTGGAAATAGTAGGGGTGGTGGACGGTAGTGGCAACTATTTAAAAAAGAAAGCGGGAGGGGGTGCGGGGCAGGGCGCAGCGCCTCCCCCGCAATGCAAATCAAATATAGACAGCGCTGGGCTGCTTCGTTTCTTGATTGGTGTAATTGGGTGTCAAAGCTCAAGGTGAAGGTCTTATCATCCAACTTTGTGGCAGTGTCAATGCAAAGAAGATAGTCAGCAGAAGCTAAAGCAGAAGTAAAAGCAAAAGCAGAAGGAAAAGCAAAAAGCAAAAGCAAATGCAGAAGCAAAGGCCAAAAGCAAAAAGCAAAAGCAGAAGCAAAAGCAGAAGCAAAAATCAGAAGCAAAAGCAGAAGCAAAAAGCAGAAGCAAAAGCAAAAACAACAAGCAAAAGCAGTAGGGAAAAAAACGCGAAAAAAAAAAAAAAAAAAATCCGGAAAACACCTGAAACAAATCCCGGAAAAATAGGGGTTCCGACCAGAATTGGCCAATGCTGGGGCCATGCTTTTCTCTTTTCGAACTGCCCAAAATGGCAAAACAAACAAGGCATAACAAGGCCGCATCACATCAAGGAACATTAGAGAACAAGCCAACTAAACACTTCTGTATTTTTCGCCTTAAATGGTTTTGGTGACTCTCCAGAACAAGAACATCGTCACGTCTTTGAAAACCATGCACCGGGTTCTGGCGCAGAATCCGGCTCCGGACGTGTTCGGACGACGGCGCACCAGACGCTTTGGCTGAAGACGAAGATCCAGGTCTCATGGAGGAGGAGCCCGGTCTGGAGACTCTCCTGACACTGAGACCCTCGACTCGTGAGACCAATAGCATGTGCAGCTTGGACGAGTCGACCAGCTGCAAGCTGCAAGCTAAACTGCGCCGGACAAAGCGACATAGTGATGCAAAGATGTGTGCTATAATCCCAGATCAGTTTCATTGCCGGAAATAGATGCACACCCACCCGTACTCATGTATGTTAACATGACATTCAGAATAAGCATATATATATATAGTCCATCTCAAAACCCGGCCTGATCTCCCCTGGTGTGGATGGCCTTGAGGATGGCCTTGACTCAGGTGAAAAGGGTGAGATAGGTGAGCCTCTTGAAGAATCACTGGACAATGGCACCTGCCGGCATCCGTTGCTCTGGTTGGGTGAAACGCGGCATCGCGCGTTGCCTACTGGGTGTATGGGAAACGCGCTCATTGAACTGTGCTTGGTGAATTCTGATCAAGGGATTGATGGGGCTCCTCCAAACAGAAAGGCACAACAACTTCTAGCCTAAAGCCTCTTCTTTATCTGCTCTTCATTCCGAAAATATCCGACTCTTACCTACATATCAATCGGTGCCGTGATGCCTTCTTCAATGGCAAATGGCGGGCAGCAGCCATGGCACCGGCGCTTCGGAGCTTCGCTCTGGAATCCGAATCCGACTTGCCCAGGCGTCACTCCGCACTGCAAATCCCCCTTGCTTGGAAAAACCCAAGGGATCTGCCTCTCTTCTTTCTACATGCATTTGAGTGAATGGGCGTCCTTGTTACTAGTAGTTAGTAGTAATGCCAGGAGCTACGGACGTAGCGTCCGATCGCTCCATTCGCAGCGATGCCCTTTGTTCCGTTCGTAGCGTCCTTGTTACAAGTAGTAATGTTAGGATACCCTCAACGCATCTAGACTCTAGGCTTGGAATTTGTCCTGATTGTTCCTTGCCACATGGATTGCCGGCTAACCCAAATGATCCCCATTCCAACAGGGCTCTCCGCTCTTTGAGAGTGTGCAGCCCTGCGGTGGTGCCAAGCGGGCATGGAAGCTTCTTAAAATACACTCCCTCCAACAAACATGGAGGTGGAAAACCACCACCTCTCTCTGATCCTGTTTCTTTGTGGATTTGGTTGTCCGTACAGGGCAACAGGACATGGCGACCGTATAAGTCAAACGAGATCGAACCTCGATCGAACCTGCATGAGCAGTCTCGACCGTTGTGACCCGTTGATGGCCAGGCATCAACGGCTCACACCGACTGGAGAGAATTTTTGCAGCTGTTTTGCATCCAAGGACTGGTTGAAAAAGCTCAAGGTTCATGGCACGAAAGACACAACATTATAATGTAGACTCTTGATTAACAACACCCCGCACAGGAAGTGGTTTTTTCATGTTTTTTTTTGGCATGAGCGCCTGCCAACGGATGTGGCATCAGCAGGTTGCTTCCGCGGCCGTCCTGCGAGCCACACTTCCTTCGCTCCAACGATCCTCGAGATGTTGATCACGTTTCCCCCGTGAAAGTCACTGTTTGGTGAAGTTACAGAATCACGGGTATGTTCTGTATGTTGTTCCTTTTTTGGGGGGGGGAACTTTGAACAACCATTCTTGATAAGCATTCTGCTGGAACCTCCAAGACGAAAAAAGAGACTGCGGGGAGTCGGTGTACGTTTACCACTCACGTGACATTCGTGGTGCCAGTCCTTCATCAGGAATCTCTGAATTTATTGACTCCTTTGAGTAGCCTCCTCTGAAGGTGCATCCACCTTTAGCTTCGAAACCACCTCGTCGGCCTGCAGAACAAGAACCCATGGCAGTTCGCATGTGTCTAATTGCGTGTCAGTTCTTCACCACATGACGATGAAACGTATGTGATGAGATCCCACGAGCACGAGACAAGCATGGCAAAATGCACCAAAACAAAGTGGATGCCACTCCCATTGCTATTAGGTTCTATTTGCTAGTAGGTGGATGTAGGTGGAGGCCATTGCTTCTAGGTTGGAGGCCATCGCTATTAGGTGGAGGCCATCGCTAGTAGGTGGAGGCCATGGTTTGAAGGTTCCATTTGCTGCTATAAGTTCTATGACTGCGCTCAGTACTACCGCGCCGTACGTGCGTGCGGTGCGACGCGGACTTCCACGGCGCCAGGGGTGCGGGCTAGTGGATGCCTGCCGGCGGGACGCCAGGGGTGTGGGCGGTGATCCATGAGGAAAGCTCCACAAATGGACCAAAACCAATGGTGCCAGGGCGCAAATGGAGGGAACATCATGGAAAGCTCTGCTTGACCTTTTTTGTGGAAACTGCAACGTCAAGTCTTTGCCGGTCTATGCTTTTGCAAAGCAAGCAGCACGGTGTCTCATGATACCTTTGGAACTGCATGAGCATATCACCATGCAAATGGCGTAAAGTGCAAAAGTGCACAGAAATTGAGGGGTCCGGGGTCCTTAAAATAAGGCTTCTGAAAGCCAGTTGAGGAAGCCTGTTCTTGTCCTGGCATGTCATGGCCAAAGCCACAACAATCAGGCCATATGAGGCCTCATTGGCCAGGGCGAGATCATGACCAACCCGGCAAACCCGCTCAGTACTTGAGTACAGTGAAGTCCAACTTGCTCTCCTCTTTGATCATCTCCACGATCTCTGGGCTCGAAGCTCGTTTTCCGTTCACCGCGATGATCCGGTCCCCTGCTCCCACGGCATCCTTGAGATTCTCGGCGTTCCATCGGGGCAGCAAGCCGTGAGTGTTCAGCTGTTGGATCACGACCCCCATGGAATCATCGCGGTATTCCAACTTCACCCCAAGGCTCTCGGCTTTCTTGATCTTGCACAGGTGCACTGGAAGTCGCCGGGGCCGACTCAACTTCATAGCCATGGCGGTGGGGAACTCTGCCGAACTCAACTTTTCACCAATCTCTTTCACACTGGTTGCTTCATCAAGGGCTAAGATCACATCGTATGGCATGATGCTCTGGCTTGGATTGAGCTCATTGAACTTCCGGACGGCACCAGGTTTCACCTCCGTGATCATCGGTCTGGAATCGCTGGTTGTATCAAGAACCAATCCGAGGGATGCAAAATCCCTCGTGGGAATCAGCAAGCTGAAGGCACCAAAGTCAGGCTTCGCTGGCACCACAGGTGTTGCTGGCTTTGCTTTCACCGGTTCGACGGATTTCGCTGGCGGCAACTGAGTTGCTACCTCTTTGGCTTCCTTTCCCTGACCATTCCCAGTCTCTGGCAAAGCAGAAACTGAGTTCACAATCGAGTCCTCCATTCGAGTGCCGTCATCTTTCTCAACGCAGCACCACATTGGTTGCAAGGATCTAAGCACTTGCAAAGGATCAGATCTAAGGACGTTTTCGAAGCCTTGAGCTCAGAAATGCTCCGATCGGAACATCGGGCCATGCTTCTACTTACAAACATGCCGTGACGTGACAACGGCCCCTTCACAAGGGCATTAGACTTTGGACATGGAACACATTTTGTGTCCACATGTTTCCCTTCATGGCAAGCAAATCTACAGTTGTTTCAGGGTAGATGGCACAACCCCCAAGATGTCTTCTGGATGGGTGTCCAAATAAAGCATCTTTGGGGCGATGGAAGTGCCATCTACTCTGAATCCGGTGTATCTCTCTCTCTCTCTCTGTGTCAGCAATGAAGCACAGGTCGCAAGACGGTCTCTTCGAAAAGGCCTGCGATTGCTTTTCGATCTCTCGCCTCATTCTGGCAGCTGCCTGCGAACGTACGGAAAGCGCGAAGCGCTGGAGGGATCGCATGAGAGGTGACCTGACACTAATCGGGTCAGGGAAACCGGCCTAGCATATGCATTAATATATATATATACGTTGCAATTGATATTGATGTTGATATTGACATTGAGATAGATACACAAATAGACACATTAATAGACAACAAACAAAACAACGCAAAAACAGCTTACAAAATAGAACTAATTAGAATCTAGAAAATATACAAAAACATTCTATATTATAGTATCAATCGTATGTACATCAGGTTGCGTAGAAAAAAGCAGCAACTGTTTCATGCGCCAAGGCAAGTGCAAAGCGTCCAAAGCAACAAGTAAGCAAGTCCAGAATGGAACCATCGGTTCTTTTGACCTCACCAGAAAAAGAAACTCCATCGGTCAACCTGGGCTCAAATCGGTTTTCTCCGCTGCATCGGTCAACCTCGGCTCCCAAACCTCAGTGGAAAATAGTGAGGTGTGAGGGATATCATGGGATATCTGGTGATCCATTTGGGCAAGATGCTTGCTCACTCGGCACAAGCCCAATTGGACGGAAATGGGTCGCTGCGACAAAGGCCGAGCGGAAAATGACACGCAGCTCTTAGTTTGGAGCTGTCATTTTGCTCTCAAGTTGGAGCATTGGTTCTAGCACGTGCTAGCGGTGCTAGCTTCGCAACTCGGCTTCGCAACTCGACCGCCTCAGGCGTCAGGTCCAGCCAGATTTTTCAGAGACTTCTTCGCGAGCGAAGTGCGGAACTCTTCGTCTAAAATGTCCTTGAAATACTCCAAGCGGTTTTGGTGACTGTTCCTTTGGATCATCTCCTGTGCAAACTCCAATTGCCGCCTGATCTGGCCTGTGAGCAAAACCACAAAGGGTGCTTGTGCTTGAACTTGCGCAATTATCACATGAATCACAATCACAAAGAAAGTACAGTAAACTAATTACAAGTATTAATGTAATCAAAAAACATCTATATAGTAATCTAGTAAATCTAGTAATAAATACAGCATCGCAACTATAGTGTCGCGTACTGGATAGGATGTCTTTTTGGAAGACCTTCTTGACCGTATTGCTGGATCGCCCAGTCGCCTCTGTATTGCTCCTGGAAGTCATCCCTCAACATTCCAATCTGGCTCCGGGCACTTTCCGGCAAGTCCTCGATCCGCACCGTCTCAGACTTGGCGTAGGGCCGAACGATGTCCTGCATCTTTCTCTCCTGAAGAGAACGACACAGTCTCGACCGGAGACGTCGCTGCCTCAAGCCCCTTTGGGAGCCTGTTGGAGGCTTCCTTTTGGATGGATGGTGTCAGAATCATCAAGGATGCAACAGGATCCAAAGCCAAACGAACGCGCAACTCATCACCTCAAGCTCGTATTACTAGGTTATCTCAATTGTCCACAACACACCCAACTTGCCCAAAGATCCGATCCAAGGATCCACCTCTTGCTGAGCATTTTGGAGTTGAGCATCGAGCAGCTTCACCCATAGCTCCGCGAGGCTCCAAAGGCCGTTCTGCTCCGCCCGGCTGGAGTTCATCTGGTTGAGGACTTCGGATCGCCAGTAGGGCTTCTGCAACTCCTGTGAAGGAAACCTGCAAAAATATACCACCACACCCAAAACGCTATCAGTCCCTCACGGCCCCCCCCCACCAAAAAAGAAACAACGACGCCACCAAAGAAGAAGGAGTTGAGTAGTCCTCCGTCCTCCGTCTCTCAGTCATTCTGATTGGCTCTACCCTAGGAATGAAGACTTTGCGGCAGCTGAGCTCCTAGGCCTAGGACCTAGGAAGGTCGAAGAGGCAGCCTAGAGCCTATGCCCCGAATAGGAGGCGAGTTTGGTTGGACTCTTGGACTCTGAACGCATCCCCCTCTCCAGTCGCATCCTTGTACAGGGGCTCCAGCTTCCGCATCAGGTCCATCACCTTAACAAAAGAAACAGCGAAATCGTAGCTCAGGCGCTGAATAGCTAGCTGTCAGGCTCAGGACGTCCTATGATTTCCCCCTTCCCCTTGCCGCCGAAACTGACCTCTGTCCTCGTGCAACTGAGAGACTTGTCCCTCCAATTGCCAGCAATCCTCCTCGGGATCCTCATCTTCGATGGCCACTGTCTCTGCACGCAAATAGGTGGACCGGTCGAACCAGCTGGAAGGGTTGAGAACACGCTTGATCCTCACCCGGCCAATCACCTTGTGGTCGCACACCTGAGCGTCTGACGAGGTACAACATCGCACCAAAAAAGCACTGGGTATGCAACCAGGAGAAACGCAGCAAACGAAAAGGATAGCGTTGCCGCTGTGAACATCTTGTTATATAACTGGTGCCGAGGCGACATACTTCACCTGGTCTTGCGTCATTTCCTCGGGTGCACGCCAACAACTCTGAATGAGTGGGTCTGGCAATTAATCTATATATATATACATAATAGATATAGATGTAGATATAGAGATAGAGATAGATAGAGATAGCTATACATATAGATAGATAGATAGATAGATAGATAGACATGAATAGAAAGTAATAGAAAAGAAAAGAAAAAAGAAAAGTAAAGAAAAAAGAAAAGAACAGAAAGAAAAGAAAGGAAAACAAAAGAAAAGAACAGAACAGAACTGAACAGAATAGAATAGATAAGATAAGATAGGATAGATAGATAGATAGATATCGTTGATACACAGTATATAACTGGAATCGTTTTGGATTGCATTCCTTGACATTTCGGGGGCAATGTTCCAATCTTTCAGCTGTCTGCTGTAGGGTGCTGTAGGGTGCACGTACATTTGTCTTTCAGGGCCATGAGTGTTTGCACCATCTTCTTCTAGCCCTGAGTGTTGCGAAGGGTGGCGTGATCTCCTGTCACGCGTGACCACAAAGGGAGGCGTGACTGAGTGCAACCAGGTGCAACCCCTGGCGCCAAGAGGATTCCAGCGCGGCTCGAGCCTGGCTCGAGCCTGGCGCCAGAGTCATACTTTGACCAATGTGCTAACAAATCACCAACCCTTATTCACATGACCAAAAGGTGCAATATGGATTTCCAGGACTGGCTTGGCAAATTGTTCTTGCAACTGGTGCCGGATGGATGTCAAAAATGAACCTGGTGCTGAGATGTGCTGAATGTTTTTATGGCAGAACAAGGTGTGTGAGAAACCACATGATCTTTAGCTCCAAATTGGAGCACTAAGCGCTAAAGCTGCCCAAATTGCTCCCAACGATCTCATCTACTGTAATTGAGTTCTAGCTGCAGTTGCAGGCTCATGGTTCTTTAAAAAACATTGTCTGTCAGCATCTGTCAACTACATACAGTATAAAAATATATAAAATATAGGTTGACAATGTTGACAAGCCTATTTCTTCGCACCACGCCAAGCCTCTGAGACTTCCTTGAGGTCATCCAAGTAGAACACCACCCCTGCCTGAGCCAAGCGCACCTCCGCCTGCGACTCGGGATCCGCCGAGGTCACCACAAAGCGCCGAGAGCCCGAGAGCAAGATGTCATTGTAGAGCGCACGGTAACCTGAGGGAGGCGCAAGAAGGGTGCTGCTGCGAGACTCCGACTCCGATGAAGGGAGCTCGGGGCGATCTTCGAAGCTCTTTCAGGCCCCTGTTTCGAAAAGAGCTCAACCGATGGTCGTTGTGCCGAAAAAGTCGGGAGTCTATGGCATCCATGGCATACCATGTGCTCAGGTCTGCCGGTCCGACACAGGTCTGAGCCATCAGGTCTGCCTCTTAAAGTCGATCGGTGGCAGTCGATGGACGACCGTGCACGACTGGTGGATAGAAGTGTTCATTCTTTCTTTTGGTGGCATAGATGTGCAACGGATCGGAAAGTAAATGTGAGACTTCTCACCTTGCCCTCCCATCTGTTGTTTGGAGGTCCGGAACGCGATGTCAATAGAAGTCCGTGGAAACTAACGACCCTGAGAATTGCGAGCCCTCTACAACCCCAGAAGCTTGGGGGTTGCACGTAATGTCTATAACTAGTAGGCGAGTAGTTATGCAGCTTTTTGGCCAACCTCGGACCCCGAAAGCATGCCCAGTCCGGGGTGGTACACACTTGTGCATCCGCGGCACGTGGCTCAAAGATGTTCAGCCTGGGGTTGCTGTAGGGCATAAATGGTCCACCCAGTGGAAACACTGGCAGGACCAGGGAATCTTCATCACCTGATGCGTCGAGCTCTTTGAGATTTGGATCCAAAGGTTCCAACCACTCCACTGCAGCCCTCTGAATCCGGCTCGTCCCGCGATGGGATGCACCGTGCCGAGCGGGGCCGCTGTTGGGGCTCGTGCCGAGGAAGCCCAAACCGAAGAGCGGGGCTCCCAAGAAGAAGAGCGCCAGCGCCAAGGAAAGGGCTGGGCGACCGGAGAAGGATCGGGACCCGACCCCCATGGTGCTACAAAGCACGCACACCCTATATTGACTGTGGCTCTTGTCCTCCGCTGACTCTCGTGCGCAAATCTGTCAGGAGAATTCGTTGATCTCTTGCTACTGCTTTAGCGTTCGGATGTGCGTTGGATCTTGTTGGCATTGGCACGCACGCATGCATGCTTGCAGTATATGGCTGTTCCTACATGTTTGTGAGCCGGTTGGTATGTGCCGGTGCCCCTCTGGTCAAGCTTGATTCCAAATCTGCAGCAATTGTTTTACTGGAGAAGCTTGGCAATTGAAGAGACTGCCACAAAACACTGGACATCACTGGACCAGCTGGACCATCCCTGGACCATGTGGGAGAATCTGCCACATGAACACATCATAACACATCATCAAAAGAGAGTTGCCATGTCCCAGCTTCTTCAGTTACAGGGCCCCCATCCAGTGACAGCGGATGCCTGGCTGGTCGCTGGGTCGCTGAAGACATACCTTAGGCCGGTATGTCCAAACGCGAGCTCCTTCAGGCGAGCGAAAACAAGCGACTGCCAGGAGCTCCAAAGAGGCAGAGAATTCCATGAAATTCCATGTATTTTTAAAGTTCCATGCCAGTTCTCCTAATGTCTTTGAGTCTTTGAGTGTTCAGTGAAGGGATGAATAACTAAATTCGCAATGCGCAAACAAACATGTCGAGATTGTCTTTAGCACTCCCACAGCCAAGCCATCCACGATATTGGTGGTAAACCAGTACGTGCACTCGTCTTGTGCATGCCTCAGAACACTTTAGCATGGAGTCAGTTCAACCTCAATCCGGCCTAACTCAGGTGAGTGAGCAAACAGAAAACAACACCACCAAGAGTCAACATGTCTCAGTGAGAAGTGAGCACTGCTTTTTGTCTTGCTGGATCATTTTGATCCTTGCTCCCCGAATCATGATTTGCAACTAAAGCTTGCAGTTCGCGAACAAGCTGATCCCGCACATTCTCCTGATTGCTTCGAGTCTTCTTTAACTGCAATTTGACCGCCTCAAACTCCATGATCTCCGTGCGGAGATTTTGGCACTCCGCCATCAACTCCGCTCGCTGTAGCCGTTGTTCCGCGCAGTCTTTGCATGGTCGCAGCTGGGCGATCTGCTCCTGATCCTGTGGAAAACAACAGATCAACATCCACAGAAATTCCCCTTCAGGAGATTCCTCGGCCTAAATCCACCCCCCCCCCCCCCAAAAAAAAAAAAACACACCCAAAAGAAGTCGACCCGATCCATCAATCCAAATCCAAGGATCCCTTCGCCGTGCACCCACTTCCGCGGCCAAGGCCTCCTGCAGCTCGCAGCTGCGACCGCGGAAGCGCTGCACTTCGACCTCTTCCTGCTCTAAGGCGTAGTGTAAACGGCGTCGCTCCGCCTGGCTTTCAGCCAACTGCTCGTCCCTCAAGGCAATGAGCTTCTGGACTCGATCCGTCAATCTGGAAGCATCTGCCTCTTTGCGCTGGAGTTGCCGCTGCAAATCTTTGGCGATATCCTTGAGTTTCTTGTGATCCGCCCACTCCACGCTGCTGGCAGATCTGGGAGATGCCGAGCGGGCAAGGGCAGCAGCTGAAGCTGTCTTCCCAGCCCGACCAAGGACTTGCTGCGCTGTACCCAGTGGCTTTGGCGAGATTGAGCGGGTCATCGCAGCGGTGGTTTTGACCACACGGTTGACGGCTTGTTGCATCACAGTTCTTGACTGCAATGGTGAAACTGACCGCTGAGGCTTTGGAGGGGAGTTGGAAGACTCTGATGCAGTTTTGGGACCCCACGACATGACATCGGGAAAGGCAGGCAGCTTTGAGCCCTGAAACACTCTCAAATTCATGGCAGGATGCTACAGTACACTCCCGAAAACTAACATAGACCCTGACAATGGCTCCCTGAAAGAGTGTTTTCCTCTACCAACCAGTTGTTTTCAGGGTCCATGTTAGTCTTCCAGGGTGTAAACTCTTCAGTGAATTCAGCAGTGTGAGCAAAGCAGCCACACAACCCCTGGACATAAAGTATCTCTCTGTTTCTTCTGTTTTTTTCTCTCTCTCTCTCTCTTCCATGCAAACCATGCATACACATACACGCCATGTATACCTAGACCCACCATAGGTGAAAAAAAACTGCCTGCAATTGAGAAAACAATTTTTTCAGTACGCAAGAAACATTTCTGCCCGTAGTAAATAAAATCATCCGCACCCAACATCCGTCATGCAACCAAAGCAAAGTTCCTTGACAATTGCGGTTGTTACAAACCGAGTTCCGCTAATTTCCACCTTTTTCCGCCAATTTCCGCTAATTTCTCCTCGTGAAATTTCAGACTATATTTTAAAACAACAACCATGACCCTGCCAAACCAAATGGCTCAGATTGAACGGTGAAAAACCGATTTCCGCCCGAGGACGTGTTTCAAGGATTCAGCCTAAAAAGACGCCTTTAAAGGAAAATCCAACACTTTGGCACCTTTTAGACAGTCTAGGTACATATACATCAGCACTGCGCCCTTCGCCCCTGTACATCCTGTACCTCCTCATCCTGCACGGTAATTAGAGACAACTGAGACAACAGCATATACTGGGCAGGCTACAGCTGCCCCCATCACAACGTTGGCCATTGGAAGAATGATCAATCATCGATCAATCAGTAGAGAACCAGTAGCCCATGGTAGCCCCTATAGCCTATCAGGCCTACTGAGTAGCCGCCATTAGCCTTTCAGTAGTAGCCCATGGTAGTCCTTCATGGCCCTCATTCCCAGCTTGTGGCGGTGTCCCTTTTTCCTCCTCCTGGATAGGTGTACGAGCTTCTCGTCGATCGACTGTCCTGGCTCTCAGGCGATGGCCAAGTGGAGCACTGTCTTGAGCCTCTGGCGCTGGGTCGGCGACATGCACGCCACCACAGTGGCAAGGACATTCAGTGCGGCAGCCACACTGCGTGCTGTTTGACCCATTTCGGTCACCTCAGAACCTGCCGAACCTGGGCAAAAGTCGTTGCTTTGAAGACCAGAAGCCAGGCGAATGCTCAGCGCGAGGACAAGAATCGCCTTGCAGGGATGCATCCATTCAGCCACAATTCCTCAACATCTTGATCACTGAGGAATTCACCCGGACTGTTGACCCAACGCACCATAGGTTTGACCCAACAATCCCCTCCCTTTGCGGCAATGCCTGAACATGCATCTTGTCAAAGGAAGGCCTCTACATCTCGCAGCAGGCTGAAAAGGACCGTATGCCAAAAACATCCAAAAACCAACGACATGTCGCATGAATAAGTCCAAACAAGCTGTGAACCTCAGGCGCAGGTCACAGTCGTCGTGGGGCAACTAAGAAAAGAGAGAGAGAGAGAGAGAGAACAAGATGGGAGTCAAAGTCGGCTACAGTGTCCACATAGAGCAGCACACAAACCACCTGTTTGCTGCGAGTTCGCCATTCCGTTCTCAGATCTCAAGCATTACCGACTCCAGCCTTGAAGATGAAGTTCATGACAGCGCCAGGCGTCTGCTGAAGATGGAGAGGGCGTCTTGCTGCGAAATATACTTCGCAGCGGGTGAGGGTTCCCCCGCCCTGGTCAAACCCGCATTTCTTGTGCCAAGGACCTGATCCGAAATGCTCCGGTTTGCATGTAAAGTGGCTGCTAGTCTAGCTGACTGGCTGCCATCAAACGTGCACAAGCAGTCCTTAGCCAAGGGTTCTCTGATGGGATTGGTGACACCTTTGCACACCACTGACAGAACAATCTTGTGTTGCAATTCTGCTTGACAACCTGCCTTGTGCTCCTGAAATGGCATCAAGGTCTGCTTGCAATACGCATTCTGGCATTCTGGTCATGTTACGGCATCTGACACAACAAAATGTCGCAAAATTCAGCGAACACCTGTTCTGTATGTTTGTCCATTGTCTTCAATGTTTGCCTCTGAGCTCTGCACTACTTTTGCTCCTTGAACGTTGCTCGTGCCCAGTGTCAGTCTGGCCAAGCCTGAGTGAAAGATAATGCGAGATACCATTAACATCGCGCTGCAAGGAACCGCTCTTGTGGTTACGAGGGTCTGGCTGCAAGGCCGCGGGTTTTATGGCTCGAATTCTCCCTTAGATTTAGCAAAGCAATATACCAAGGGAACCATTACTAGATTGAATTCGCTGTTCCTTTACAGTAGATCATTTGGATTGAATTCTCTGGACATCTCTGTTCTCGTTGCTTGTCCGAACCTGTTTGAGCCACGTGCCATGAACACCATGGAACACGGACACCTGCCATGCTGCCATGCTGCTACTGCTTGGTCAACCGCCTTGGTAAACCCGGCTCTTTTTTCCTGGCTCTTTACGCTGTCAAGGGCCCTCCCTTGTTGAGTCACACTCCTTGTGCCAAACAACCACCAATGGGCACCCGAGAGCTGCCTCTTTCGTGCTCAAAAGTGTGAGAGCTGCGAGTCTTTGCCCACCATTCGATAGAGCAGCATGGTGCAAAATGCGGTCACGGCAAAGCCTGCGGTCGTGGAGTCATACATGATCTGGCCGGCCTGTGTGGGCAAAGGCTCCTTAAATCTGTTGGCTCACTAACATGGTTTCGTCCAAAACCACCTATATTTACAAAGGTGAAGATAGACCTGACGCTGTTCCAAACACAAGCCCCTCCCAAGCTGGCCTTCTCTGGAATGACAATGCGTAGATTTCCGAACAGGACCTGCACGCAGCAGCCAAAGAGTTGAGAGAGGCTGTCCAACACAGCCATACAAAAGGCTCGTTGTGAACGCGGTACCTGTGAGCAGTAGACCGTGTAGGGCAAATACAAGAGTGGTCCAGCACCTGCTCCGGTTAAAAGCAGGAAGAAGACCCAAGGAGTCAAACTCATACCGGGCATCATCACCATTGACACAAGGCACAACAGTGCCACATTCGCCTGAATGAGCTGCAGCAAGCGACCATGCTCACGGCCGTTCAAGTAGGTCACGACACCTGCCAGCAGAAGGCCCAGAAAGGTGCCAGCTAGCAAGCTGGAAGCCGCCATGGCTGCTCCACCTGGATCCAATTGGAACTGAGCCTGCATGAGCAAGGACAGATAGCCTGAGAAGGCCCAAAGTCCTGAGGTCCCAAGAAGGACCAGCAGTGCCAACCAGCCATGGAAGTCCACAAAGAGCCGGAACCATTTGGCTCCATAGCTTGCGCTCCAAGTCGGAGAGCTTGGTGACATGGGCTCTTCAATGTGAATCCCCTTGGCCAAGAGCCCATGCAAACAGAAGATTCCTCCCAGGAAAATGGCCACCAGAAATCCCCCGAAGCAAGCGAGAGCTGAGCGCCAGTGGAAGCCCAACCATAGCAGTTGACCCAGGCCGAAATCTCCAAGAGCTTCTGCAAACCTCGAGGCTAATGCACAACAAAAGAAGCAAACATCCTGCTTTTCCTTGTCCAGCGAGAAAATGATGCTTCCCAAGGAGGGCCACAGAATGCCCTTCAGGAAACTCACCACCAGTAAACTGAGAATCAACCTGCCAAGCTCCAATGGCTGGTGATTGACACGGTGGAACAAGAACACCGCATGGCTGGGCAGTTTCAATTTCCCAAAACTGAGGACCACCTGGAAGCACCTCCTGTGCCACGAACATGACAACGATCCTTTGCATAAGCATCCGCTTTTGTTGATGTATTTCTTTGTTGCTCCTGCTCTTTTTGGAGGAGGATTGCGCTTACGAAAGGAAGACAAGTGGGCTCAACATGTTACAAAACTATCCACTTGCTAAAAGGAATTATCTTCAACCCCCGATGGCCCTGGCTGGGTCATTATGTTAGTTTGGGGTAGGGCACCAGTGGCTGCAAGAACACTAATTAACGCCACCCGTAGACCACAGTGTTGATGCTCCACCTCAGCATCCATCAGCCAATTAAACTTGGCATGGGATCACATCTTGTACCCACAGCAGCATGGCTGTAATTCGTGTAATTATAGTCATATTACTGAGCAGTAGCATTGAAAGCAGGTATGTCGACACTTCAAACCATTCTACATATGATACAGTACGAGTGTGTGATTGTGCAATTGCGTGTCACATATTAAACATTATTAAACCTACCAGTATCTGAGCCTATCTGCAATATCATAGGTCAACATCACCCATCAAATCTGTCGTTGGTGTTTTCTGAAGTGAATGAACGCCCCGATCAGGTGCCCCGTTCTCTTCTTGCTGGCAGGTCACCCATGGGCGCTGTGCAGTGTGGTGGCGATGAAGAGCCCAGAGAAGGCCACAAGCCCCTCAAAGGCTATCAGGAGCACCGGTTCGATGTAGTCAGCTAAAGGCCCTGCCAATAATAGCCCCAAGGCCTGTGCACTTCGGCGCGCTTTCGTCAGAATGTGAGGGTGTTGCTTAGCAAACGACGTGTCTGAAGATTCAATCGAATCTAAAGGCAATCTCATGCAACTTCTAGGTCTTATAGAAGCATATGGCATAACGGGATTTTACTATGGATATATACCACTGCTCAACATGGGCCGTGGCTTGGACAGACTCGCAAGTCGCGCTATATCTAAAACATATGTATATATATAATATGTACATACAGTATTACATGACATAGATTCCGAATTCCCTTTAAGATCCATTACATTATATAAGCAATATATCCCTTTGGGATACAGATCTTCAAGGGAATTTGGAAAAATATATATGTATACGTGTATGATCGTGTATGTGTGTATATATTATATAAATCTATATCAGCAAAGTCCCTTTGCTTCCACTCTGCCTCGAACAAGGTTGTGATCCATGTCACAGTCAATGTCGACTTCTTTGTCCAGCTGATGGACCGGTCTGCCTCCCATGCTGGCAGCAAGGCATAATAGTAATAGCTGGCACTCGTCAGAGCAAAGACCAAGAGCTTCAAGCTTGCAAGGAGCCAGTAGTCCGAAGAAGTCCACAATTTCTTTTCACGTTTAGGCAGTTCAACAGTCCCATAGGCAGGCTTGGTTGAACCGGCAACCGGTTCCATCCGGTTATGCAAACATGGAATGGGCCTACACTACCAAGTGTAGGCTGAAAGCCTGGGCCTAAAGGCGCAGCAGCATTGTTGACGAGATCTGTCGTGCTGCACTTGATGCATGTGTGCATGCATGCAAATGCCACAAGACAAAAAGAGTGAACTCAATATATACAGTATAACTGATGTATGCGTATACAACGAAACACTTCCGGTCTCCTCGGCCAAAGGCTCAAACAGTGGGACCTGAGCAATGCAACGTGTTCTCAGCCAGCCACGGGTTTTCCTGCTTGCACCATCAAGCTGGAAATGCACGATCATCAGAAGCAACACCGGGCCACAAAAGTGGGGCTCCGAGTTTGGGACCAAGATATCTTCATCCCCGATCTCGAAAATATCCTGCGAGAGCCTGGGTCGCAAGGAGTCAGAATCGCGGGTTTGTCATAGTTTGGCCCCTAATTCATTCTCTCCCTCCCACCACCAGACAAAAGCACTTTCTAACTGGGTTTGTCTTGAGTTCGGCCCCGAATTCTCTCTCTCTCTCTCATCCCTGTCGATCCAGGTCCTCTCGTCACCTCGCACCCGGCTGATCGGCTGAGCGCTTTGCTCGCCGCCATCGCGAAAGAAGTCGTCTGCCTGGACACCACGACCCACCGCCCCACTCCCACTCGACCGGTCCGGTGTTCCAAGGAAACCCGAACCATCCATGGGACTGGAACAGTATGGAACAGTTGGTTTATGTTAATAGTTTTGCAATGAAGGGGTCAGAGTCATTGTTGTTTTTTGCATGGGTCATGAAAAGTCACGGTCAAACACAGGTGGCTTGACCTCCACGGGTCGTTGATGGTTATTTAGGTTTTTGATTCTGATTTCTCGACAGTGCCCATTTGAGAAGCACGAAGGGTGCTCAACATGCTCAACATCAGCTTCTGCGGTGAGAATCAACAGAACCTTCGGACTGTCTTTTCCACAGGCTGCCTTGCCTGCCGTGCTGTACAACGTGCATTCTATGGTAAATTATACAGCCTTCCAGCTGCCAATCACAGGCTCCTCTTTCATAGCTTGTACAGTAGCTCTTCTACACCAGCCGGAAGTCTACAGCAGGATACATACACGGATCCAGCAGAATGGCAGTCGGACATGGTCGGTTTCGACTCCAGTGTAGAAAATCAGGTGAGATAGGAGAGATAGAGCACGATCGGTGGATCCTTTGGTCATTACATGCAGGTCTCCAAACGAGAAATTGCTGCACCAGAGCACAGGAAAGGCATGGGCATCTTCCAGTTACGACGTTGCCGGAGACCTCCGGAAGACTGTATTGTGCATTCTCCAAAACGCCTCTCATGCGCAGCTGACTGGTCTTCTGACATTTTCGCTCTTCAAAAAAACCACTGCCGTTGACCTCAGGCGCCTCCGAGGGAGGACGCTCGTGCCAACGAATTGAGGCGCTCACGCAACCACTGAGCCATGTCCGCAGGTGGTTGCCTAGGGAGAGGACGTCCGCACGATCTATTTTCGCTCCTCACATGATTCCCACCCGACAAATGCACCCGAACAATGCTGGGACCTCAAAAGGGAGGAAGGGAGGCCACCGGCCTCGAGCGAGCACGTCGCTCATCGCCTGCGCGTGCCGAACCTCCGGGGCCCGGGCCATTCGGCAAAGGACAGATTCTCCAAGGCATTCTTGACCTTCGGCTCCAAGTCTGATGGGATGTGCTCACGTAAGACCTGATGGGATGTGCTCAGGAGAGACATGGATGGAGAATGATGGAGAATGTCTACAGCAAAAACGGAAAGAATACGGTAAATAAAACCACGTCACACACACAAAACACATTGTGATGATCTATGTCAATGTGACTGTCCATGTCAAAGAGGCTTTCCTCGACTGGGCAGCCGCGCTGAATTGTATGAAGCCAACCACTTCAGCTCTTGGCTCAAAGAGTGAATGCCGTGCATCAGCTCGGCGTTTTGCTGACTGATCTCGAGTTCGTAGCATGTTTCATCCTTCATCTCCTCAGCCGTTTGACCCGCCAGGTGATTGTGTTGGGCATAGTTTCAGGGCCGCTACGCCGTGTGTGGAGCCGTGAAACACGCGAACAACCCGCCCAATGTCGTGGAGGACCGTCAAAGCAATAAGAAACTAAGTAGTTGCCATCGTCGCTGCGTTCTGCGCCGGGTGTTTTCTCTCGGTTTTGATGGTCAGCGATGTCTTTTGTTGTATGTAGTGAAGTGTGACAAGTTTTGCTCTCTTTTGAATGTTATCCGTTGCATGTTGTCCAAGTGCACATTCATTGACTCATTGTACAAGACGTTAGATACGCTTCCACGCTATGTTACTGACTTTGATATTGTTGGGGTGGGGTGGGATGGTGGGGATGTTAATGTAGGCTTCTAATTGCACACCTACACATTAGATACTCTTCTACGCTACGCTAGGCTGTGCGATTGCCTTGATGCAGGTTGGAAGAGATTGACATGTTGGCTACCACAAACAGCCAACGTGTCAAGGCCACGCAGTCCACGAAGCTGCTTGCGTGTGTGGCAGTGGGTGAACACAACGTGTCACGTTGCGTGGAACACCGGCAAAGAATCTCTCCAAAGTGTGGAACGCGAAGTAGTTTTCCAAAGTGCCAAAAACAAGGTGCGCCAGTGTGTGCCACAGCCTCAGGGGCAACGTGACCACTACAACCACTACCATCCAGGCGCCTGATGACGCCGTTCCGAAGCAGTTTGGGCAGATCTTGGAACAGTGGATGATGATTGTTAGTTAAAGACCTTTCTGCAAAATCGTGATAATTGTTTGCCAAGCAACAGGTAATAGGACAGGCCATTTTCGTGTACAGTTTCTTTGGATGATGGTTAGATTGCAGGCCTTTCCCCCAATTATCTTTTATCAACTGGTTACAAGTGATGGGACACGCCCGTTATCCGTAGTAGTTTCGGCTAAGAACACAGCGCATTGAGCTTCGCTTTCGCTTCACCGAGCTTCTGCAGGTGTTGGAAAAACTTCAGCGCAAACTTGAGCACTCTCTTCGCTCGCTTGGAGCTGGCTTTGCAAGGTCGAAATCTCGTCCTGGAAAAGGATGAGGTGTTCTCATTACTAGTAGAAATGCACTTGTCACTAGTAGTAATGCACTTGTTACTGGTAGAAATGCACTTGTTACTATGTACTTGTTACTAGTGGTAATGCACTTGTTACTAGTAGTATTAATGCACTTGTTGCTAGTTGTAGTAATGCACTTGTTACTAGTAGTAATGCACTTGTTACTATTAGTAGGAATGCACTTGTTACTAGTAGTTGTAATGCACTTGTTACTACTAGTAGTAGTTATGCACTTGTTACTATTAGTAGGAATGCACTTGTTATTAGTAGTAGTAATGCGCTTGTTACTAGTAGTAGTATTGCACGTGTTACTACTAGTAATAGAAATGCGTTGAGTAATGCCCGTGTTACTAGTAGTAGTACTGCACTTGTTACTAGTAGTAGTATTGCACTTGTTACTATTATATAGTGGTAATGCACTTGTTACTAGTAGTACAGTAATGCACTTGTAGCGATGCACTTGTTACGATTAGGATGAGGTGTTGCACTTAGTTTTTTTCCCACAGAATGTATGGCGATGATTTCGAGCTTCACTGCACGGGGTGGAATATACGTATACTGTATATCGACAGGTGTCTGCAATTAATTTTCCGGTCAGGGAGGGGCCTAACATAAGGATAAAGGATGTCTCAACATAAAATTTACATGTGCTTTGTTACCTCGGTGTTTCTAGCAACACCGGATCCAGCATATGTCTCAAAGGTAGGGGGACAGCAAGACACAAATTGGATGCATAGGGGTAGGGCACAACGACCCATGCACATCTACATTTCTTGGGCATTCGCGACCAGGTTCCAGGCCAAATGGACGCACACATATTATGCACACCATAGCCCACAGCATACAATGCTGCAATTGACGCAATCACGTGGAGGGGATACACGAGCTTGTGGGGTGGTTTCTCTTGTGTTCGAACCGCTCTGGGCACCCCCTGTGCCGCATACAATTCCAAGCATATTGTCAGCCAACAAAACAAACACCAAAACATGCATACTGTAAAATCCTTGTCCGTTGAGTTGCATGGCTTCTTGGGGATTCTAGCCATAAAGCAGAGGCATACTTCGCATCAAGAAAGGGAGAGGGAATCGCTTTTCATGTCCGCCCATCGAAACTCCAGCCGGAGCGCGCATGAAGCTCCGGAGTTGAAGAATTCCTAGGAACTCTTGGGTAATCTGCGGCGAATCGGTGGCCATTCTCAGGAAATTGAAGTTGATGTTCATGTATGAAAGTAAGGGAGGGGGCGGCAGGAAGCATACGAAAGTGTCAAGGACATGGGGGCGGGGGAGATCCAGACGCAAACTCAATGTCAAAGACCTATGTTTCGGAAATGCCGCCTAGATGCAAGAACATGTATACTCTTTGTTGAGCACTCCCCTGCACCACATATACTTTGACGTGACCCTGCTATGAAATACCGCATGTTGTTCCGTATTCCGCGGTAAACAAACATACATGAAAACAACACAGTGATCTGGAAATAAACATACACAAGAACACATGCATGCCTTTTCATTCTATTTCATGACCTAGTCCATTCACATTCGTAGTTTAAACAAGTTTTTACAAGTCCAGTGCTGTCTTCTGGTCCTTCTGCTTCTGGATCTCTTCTTGCAAATGTGCCTTCTCCTCCATGCTTTGCCGCAGCTCCTTCTCCAATCCCGACCGCCTCTTGGCCTGGTGCGGGCCGTGGGGGGGCCGGTGAGCGCCCGGGAAGGCCTCCTTACACCATCACCATCAAAGGAACATGAACATACCTGGAGGTGGCGCAACATGTGGACATACGTGTCTGGCTGGGGGTTTAATGAACGGGGCCAACATGTTGCACTGTTGGAGCATCCAGGTAGAATATAAACAAATACATAATACATAACTGTGACATAACAGCAATATAGTTGTAACATACATGATGTTTAAAGTGTAAGATATTGCAACACATCTGAAAAGACTTCGCCCAATTCAGCTTGCCTCTTCTGTGACCTTCTCCTGGCTCTGCTGTACCATGATGTTCAATTCACGCGCCGTGCGCTCGTTCTGCCTCAGTCGTAGGACCGGTGACCGGAGTCTACGCCATGAGCCAGGTAGGCCTGTAGAACCTGCAAAAGGTATTGGTAAGTTCATAGGATCTCCACCTAAACCTGCCAGTATAGGTAGTGATGGTGCCTATCCAAAGGGCCAGCCGCAATTCAAAGGTGTGAGTACAAAAGAGCAATTGACCAAATCATTTTGAGTAAGACATGCCAGTGAGACGTCGTCGGCGGGTTTCCATGGAAACAGCCACGGAAGCAAAAGACATCACAGCTGAAGAGCGCGTCTCATTGTTTCGGCAACCCAAACAGCAAAACAAACATTGAAAAGCATGAACAAGATTGAGCAAGAAAATAAAGGCGTTGGCAGAGTTGCTGTTCCACTTCCTGCCGCTGACTTTCCCAATTGCGATACTTCTGGTCGCACTCCTACAGCAGTGAAGCAGCTGACATTCATTTACGAGCCCATCTGCCCGGCAGGGATCATGCCCTCTCAAATCCCAAACAGTATGTATAGTTTTAGTTTCTTGGCACAAACCGTTTCTCCTGCAATGAATTATGGAGACTCTGATGCAAATCTGGTGTTCCAAAAGGATTCCACTCTCGTGCCTGTAGTTTCAGAGCTTTTTCAGGCCAAAAAGGAACGTGAAGCTGTTAGTACTTCTGAGCTGTTAGTCAAATATCCGACGCCTTGGCCCATATACATGTATATATAATGCATATCTCATCTCATCTCTCTCTATAAATAAGATGAATATATAATAGATATATGCACCCCAAATGCTGCGCCCGGAAGGGCTCCAAACACTGCAGAGTGCAAGGCCTTGGCTTGAAGCTTCAAAGTTTCTTGTTGCTGCTGGAACTCTGCAGCCTCGATCTGAAGCTGATGCTTCTGCCTCAGCCGAGTTTGGCATGCATCCGCCCCCAATTCCCTGGCTCACTCAAATGAAATCATTCTTTCACTAGCCACTCATTCCAAGGAAACCGGCTCAAACCTACGCAAAAAAAAACACAACAACAACTCAAAAAACCTGTGGTTCCTCACCTTCTTCCTGCATCTTCCACCCCGGGATCCTCACCCATCCTCCCGGGATCCGATCCACCGATCCGGATCGATTCGTTGAACTTCTTGCGGGGGGCATTTGCAGCTCATCTCGGATCCGTTGAACTTCTTCGCGGCTGCGCTCGGCCTCCAAGAGGCGAGCCTGAAGCTCTTGTTGTCGTCCTTTCCTGGGAGGAACGCACACACATAGAAGTTGGGTGTACTGTGGAATATACAATATGTATGTGATCATATATATATATAATATATATATATGCTTGTGTATACCCCAAAGCTGTTTATGACATATTTACCTACACTGGGGTGGTTTCAGAGGTCAATGTAGGCATATCATACATGGAGTGTCTAAGGAATATTATATAACATTATATATATATATCATCCCGAGATATCCCGGACATTCCTCCTCAAAATTCGCTGCTCGACTCACATCACACTCTCCACGAATCTCCAAGACTCCTACAGTCTCCAACACACCCAAAAGGGTCAACAGTACGTTGTCAAGCCACAGGAGGTTCTCCCTCTGCTCCAAGTCCTTCTCCGCGCGCAGCAGCTGTTCATTGTTTCGCTCTTGCTTCAGCGTCTCTTCCAGCTCCTGAAGGGAAGCCAAGTCTCCGGCATCCACAGTCCCATCATCCGCACACAGGGATGGCCGGTCATTCCGCGTGCTAGAATGTCTAAAGCACCAGTTTTTTGCTCATCTAAAGTCTAAGTAGCTACTTTGGTTTCTTCTCCCATCATTACGACCTCCAGTTCTTTTTCCCAGTTGGTGGCTGAAGGGGTGGCGAAGCGACGGTCGCTTAGCTCCTGACAACGTTGCTCCAAGCTTTTGGCTCTGGTCTGAGCCGTGAAGAGCTTCTCCTCCAAATCCCGTTTCTCCTGCAGCTTGTCCTCAAAAGCCATGGTGAATTTAGTGGGCAAGGATTTGGCAAGTGTGTTGTTGTGGCATTGCTTCTTTAACAATCAGCAATCACCAGTACAATCTTACTCTACAAGCAACATATTTCCAGACCTTCAGTCTCAAAAACTACCAGTATATCTGTAAATGTCCGTTTGGGAACCTGTGCTCCAACGCTTGAGCTGGGGGAACAAGTTTCCCGTTTCTCCTGCACTTCACGTTGGCAATCCCTCTGAGTCTTCTCCTTTGTAGAGCGAGCATCGTCCATCTGCTTTTCTAAACGCTCCTGCTTTCTTTGAGACATGAGGGCACTCAAGGCATATTATGCCTCCAAATCCATGAAATGATCTCGGGGCAGTGTTGAGAGGTCAGGATTCCTATCATGCGAGGCACGCAGTGAGACCAATGAATGATTGAATGTCAACCGCCCCTTGAATCCCTTAAGCCGCAAAAAGACCTGTCAATCATCCCGTGGCGGTTGATCTACCGGGTGAATGTCTCGCGGCGGACGGGTCTTCTGGGGTAGCTCCTGGCGGACCTTCAAGTTCCTCGCTTCATCCGATTTGGCTTTCAACTTCCGCTCCAGCTCGGAGATCTTCATGTCCTAGCCCCAAGGTAGCCAAAGGGAGCAAAGCGGAAGGCTCCTAGTTTTTCCAAGCAATTGAAAGCGCGCTTTTATATAAGCATCAGAAGAGGAAGCATTTCAAACAGCCAAAATAAAGTTGCAAAAATTGTTTGATTGGTGTGTGAAGGATTTACTACAATTTTGGCTGTCGTCGTCGCAGAGTCGTGGTAGCTATGATGTGGGTGGCAACCTATGGGAGAGCCTCACATGTCATGGTGTCTCAGGTTGTCAAAGCAAAAACAATACATATACATGACATATTATATATACATATAAATATAAATATACATTGTATACATGATATATTCTTTTCAATGTCCCTCCTTCTGATGGAGCTCACTCTCGATCAGCACTCCCTGGTCCAACTTGGCCTGTTTCATGTCTCGACACATCCGTGTAGATTGACAGAACCGGTCAGTCTGACACGTCCTGTCAATGTTACTCTCCCCGGTCAGCCATGTTACAATCCTTTTTAAAGAAAAACAATCAACCCCCTGTCATTCGAAGATATTCAATGAGCATCTCCACCAGTCTCAGTTGTGAAGCGTCTCGGGTTTTCTCGAAAAGTCTCCGACTCCAAAAACCGCATTTTGACACCAACGAATTCGTCCGTGTCGGCGGCAACCGCATGCCGTGCCTGAATCTTGCGGCGCGCATCGGCTTCGCGCTCCAGGCGCTGCTCCATTTCAATCAGCCGCTCCGTCAAATGGTGAACCTGCGCGCGTGGCGCGTGGGGGGCGCCACGATGCAAGTTAAACCCACTTAAACGCACGCATCATCACATGATTATATATATAATATATAATATAATATATATATATGCCTGTTGTATCCTGAACAATGCTCTCTACGTACCAGTCACTCACAATTCACTAAAAAATGCTAAAAACTGATTGCGAAAATGAAAAACAATTGGACCATGACCAGCATGAACAATGACACTAACAATGACCAGCTTTCGTGCGACCCATGTCCCCAACTCACATTCACCGCGCAACGCCGTGATGCACCGATTGGTCGCGGTCGTTGTCGGACCGACGGAACCGGTCGTATGACGGAGTCACTGGACTCCGGACCGAGTCACTGGAGGACTGTTGACAAGGCATGGAACTGTCCCATGGAACTAGTATGAACTAGTCGTCCGGGTTTGGTCCGCGTTTACCAAACCTGCATGGATGGTCATGGATGGTCCGGGTTTGGTCAACTCTAGACTCTTGAGGAATACAGTAAACGGAAAAACCCGCTTGGTCCCACGGACGAAGTGGTTAAGCAGCGGCCCGGCCTGCTGAGTTTCAATCTCTCGGTCATTCAACGCCTGGCGCAACGAAGGCCCAAGTGAGGAAACAGCAGAAATGATACCATTAGGTGGAACCATCGGGGGTCCCTCACTTCAGAATTGACTGGACTGAATTATATAAGAGTCTTTTTGAATGGGATGCAGCCATGAACACCAGCCAAGTGGCCTGCAAACTGCACACACACACGACTCCTGCAGGCCTTGTCAAGCTCTTTCTTCAGCGACTCAGTCTCCTCTTTTGCGGCCAATCTGTTCTCCAACACACGATTTACCTCTTCAACGATCTGCTTTTGCAGGTCAATGCTAGGTTCTTTGGTCTCCAATGAACTGTCTGAATTGCCTCTCTTGACAGCTTTTGGATTCGTTTCCACATCCACTGGAAAGCAAGCACTGTCACGCCGGTCTCTGAACTTTGGCATCGGTGATGAATGAGGGTAGCCTCCTTCGCTCACTGCGGACGACATACTGCCAGCACCATGCACAGGGGAGACTGCATCGAAGCCATGCCAATCCAAACGCCGGCCCATTCCGGGCCGGGCTGTCATAGCCTCGTCAAAAGCAACCCCCGTGATCTGTGGTGCACTTCGAGGGATCTGTGGGCTTGGTTTCTCCATCACATGGTGAACAGGTGTGTTCGCCGGCACGTGGCTATTCCGCTGTGGAATGGGAGACAGGGCTCCCATTCGCGGCTCGACCCGTGGTTCTGCACACAAAGCATAGGTGACACGAGGAGGTGGGCTCTGCCCCCGTTGTGGTCTAGGACCCTTCATGAAATCCATCGGATCGTGGACCACAGGTCCTTTGTAGCTTGGTGTGAGCACAGGTTGCTTGGTCCATGGTACTGACTCCACACGGCGGTCGGGGGACACGGCACTGATGGATCTCACCGCGGGGGTGCGTGCATAGACAGCCATCGCGGCTGTCAAGCGTAGGTCTTTCCGTTCCCGCCAGCTGGAGCAAACTCAGGGCCGGCAATGACAATGACACACACACACTAGAAAATTTACCGAATAAAGTTGATACATTGATATGTCATATCATGTGCAAACTTCATGATGCGCAGTTCTCCAAGGAATAACCGCCCGCAGTTCCCATGTCAGGGCAGAACTACTGAGTGGGAGCCAGTCCCTGCATATCCTTGGAATCTATTATCTACAATACAAATACAAACTATACAAGTTGAGTGTTGGATAACGTCTTATGCCAAAGGGCTACAACTTCCAGCAGATGGCGCCTCCTCACAGCGCAGCCCAGGCCTTAGGTGAACATAGACGAAGGCCGAAGCATCTGGTTCGTCGGTTAGTCAAAATCATATGTTAGTCAACATGCTGAATGACCCTAAGCAGTACTCAGTACTCCATGTGTTCAAGGAACGCCTGCACGACTGAGAGCTCAACTCGGCTTTGCGAGTCTGACCTACGTCCAGTGATCAAGAATCAAACCTCCGAAAAATCCCTGTCCCACTCCCTGCCCCTTGTCTGCAAACAACACGCGCACTGCGCAAGGGGAACTTCATCTGCTCGAAGGACAATCACAATCCCTCTTCTCCAGTGGTTGAACTGCACTGAGTCACCGTGTCGATCGCGAAGTTCCGACTTGTGCGACTCGTAGGGAATGAAGGTGGCTGGATCCAATGACATCTCTATTGGGTTCCCGTAGCGGGTCGCAGTCTTCCTGCCAAACACCACCACTTAGGCATCCAGCTGGTGCTCGAGATTGCCGCTTGGGCATGATGGATGGCCTCCAGGGCTAGCAAGCAAAAAGAGAGACGACTGCGCTAGAGAAGCAGAGACGACTGCAGCTGAAAGCGTTCGACCTCCAAAACTCTGCGTTCAGAACCGTCACGCCTCCTTCACGTCTTTCGGAACCAGCTTTTGCAACCTTAGTGATGCCCCTACGATGACACCGTAGGGCCTGAAAACACCGTTTGACCTTGGCCGCCGTGTCTTCAACTGATGGATTCCATATTTGTCTGCAAACAGGTGGTCCAGAAATGCTCTGCCCGGCGCTTTTTGAACATGGAGCCATGCAGAACGGTCGGACGGTCCTCTGTCACAAACTAGTTATGTATACAGTATACATATATATATATATAATAGTATATATATATACAGTTAATGAATCTATATCACTATCATTGCACGGCTCCTTGAAGCATTTACCTGATCTTGGTGGATGGCAAAAAGTAACGTAGCTGCAGCCACGAATAGATTGAAGTGAAGCATTCCAAAAGGAAGAAGACAAACTGAAATCCAGGGATCGTCCTATTGTGATCACTAGCTGCTAGCTCACATTTACTCTGGTCGAGCCCAACTGTCTTGCTGGAGCAGCTGCAGTGGTATTCATGACTCATGACCATTTCAACCCTAGTCTTGTCTGACGCATTTGTCAAACATAGCAAGCAAAACACATGCAAATTGGCAATCATACTGGCGAGATACACCATGTTTTCGCAGGTGCGTAGACTTCAAACCTGCACCCAAGTGCATCAACTAAATTGAACTCTCCTTTGCAAACACCAAGGCGGGCAATGGCCAAACTTGCTTTGATTCCAGTGACCGTGGCTGGGAGGGCACTCGCGTGCTTTTTGTCTCTCGCACGCATCCGGCATGATCCTGGCACTTGAGACAGCTGGAAAACTAGCAGGCAAATTGAACATGCCAGCAAGAAATGCAAAGCGCTGAGTAGCAAAGTGCTCTATTGTAGCACATGTGATGTCCAAGAATGTCAATTCAATGTCTGAGGTTGTTATGCCGCTCACCGTTCCGGTGTGCTAGGACTAAGCTTCGAGCAGCATGCATGGGTCATCATGCCTCTCGCGCGGCAACGGATCGTAAACACTCCCAGGCAAAACAGGCAGGCAAGATAAAGCTGAAACATCTTGATTCCTTGTTTGCAACTGGCAGCAAAGCAGAACCTAACTGGCCTATAGTCATTTTTTTGATACGTGCCAGGACACATATTTTTTGACAATTTCTCGCACCGCTGATTCTTTCTTCCTCTGATTTCACCCATTCCCAGATTCAACAACTTGCCGCGCAAGGGCCAAATCTTGTCGCCATGGATGATCCGGTGCTTCCAGCTCTCGTAACTGCGGATAAGCCTCAGTTGTTTCATGTGTCTCACACTGTGCAGTATGGGAACTCTGCTCTCACCACCTACAAAACGGCGGCATCAGCCGGCAAGAAATGCATCGAAGCACTACATGACATACAAGCATTCAGAATACAAGACACATTCCGTGTGTCGGGCTCCTGTTCTGCGCGATTCTATTAGTGGTCTTGTGGTGCCAGAAATTTTAGCAACATGTATATAATACCTTATCTATAAAAATTGTATATATGTTATATATATATAGACAGGGGCCAAGACGTCTGCCCATTTGGTTCATATATGTTTTTCTGTGTCCCTCTTGTTTTGCACATGTACGGTGCACATTGAAGAAAGGGCAAAAAGACTCGCAAAAGGCTCCAACAAACGGCGTGATTGTAAAGGCTCCATAGGTAGAACCTTGTTGATCAAAGATGTTAAAATGTGTTTAAATAGATCGCTGATCAAAGAAGGCCGGACGAACCACGAACGAACACTTGTGACGTCCTTTGATAAAAGTGCCTGTGAACTGTTTTCAAGCGTTGGATCTCTGCAGGTATTGGAAACCCTGGTCCGTTGCAATGGGCTTGTGAATGTGAGGTGTTGTCCAAACAGCACCCAAACAGCACGCACACAAAAGCGGTAAACAAAGGCTCTAGAACTGGACTGGAGATGACCGGAGCAGTTAGGTTTCGTTGACTAAGCTCCGTCACACTGCCATACAACGAGATACTTCTCGAATCTACACAACAGTATGCGGGCTGTGTAGAAACATTGTATGCCGCCTAAATGGCACATATAATAGTATCATATTGAATTGAAGCATGCCAGCACTCTAGTCTATTTTTGGCTTTGTTCACTGAGGACTCCCCACACCCCCTTCGCCCTTCTTGAGAACTTGAGAATGGGGATGTGCAATCACTTCTGGGTCAGCCTAGATTGTAAGCAAAGAACCAAAAGGAAAAAACAAAAGGAGTGCACGAAGGCAGCTTTCCAAGCGCCAAACATGGTGTGTACTATTCGGGTGTGTTCCCCCCTGTTCGAGCACAAACTCATATTGAGCATGTGAAAGCTATGTGTCCTCTTCCCCATCCTGCTTTGACACTGCTGAACATTTTTTTGGGCTCGTCCGTTCGTTGTTACTGTAGCATGCTCTGCTTTAGTGACTTTAATTTAAGCTCTGCTAATCTCTTGCTCATACGTCTCCCGTCTCCCCATGTTCTATCAAGATGCTTCCAGCATCTTCCTGCTTGACATCCTACCCTTCTATTACTTGTCAATTTGCACCAAAAACATGCTCAAACATATGGAAGGCAGGTCGCAGTCGGGGGCTAGCGGCTAGCACACAAGAATTCTGTGAGCATGGTCTAATAGAGCCTAACAAATCCGACAGTATATATAAAGCCCCGCTGGAGCCACAACCAAAAAATTATCTGGCAAGGAGCAACGGATGTGAAGTCCCCGTCATCTGTAGCATGGTCAATAATCAAAATACCATTGAGGTGGTCGAGCTCGTGTTGGAACGCGCGAGCTGGCTCCCCGGATAGGGTTTCAGTGTGAGAGTGCCCGAGCAAATTGAGGGCCTTGACAGTGACCCTTGCATCGCGAAGGAGCGTCACCAAAACGTCAGGTGGTAGAACCAAACAACGCTCCCGCCACCAAAGCATGTCGGTCTCAGGGCTACGCTCCAGAATCTCAGGGTTAATGAAAACACTCTGATTTGATACGATGGCCGAGTCAAGAACGATAATTCGGGCATCAACACCAAGCTGACTAGCAGCCAGGCCAACAGCTCCCTCAGTGGTTGCAGTGGTTCGTAGAGCATCTATGAAAACCTGCAGCTGTTGGCGCTGTTGCAAGGTCTGGAAGGTCGTTTCGGGCACTGGACTTGCCAACATGCGAAGAATTGGGTCGGGATACCTCGCCATAGGCATCACCAGGCGATTGGCGCCAGATTGTAGCCAAGCGATCGCTTCGGAAAGGGAACGTTTTGCCACGTGCGTTCCTGACCATGTTGCAGCAATTGATGGTGATGCCAAAGTTAAGCAGATCAGTAAGGGCGCGCAAGAATTGAGCAGGCTCATCCAAGGTGTCAGCGGGGGTGGTGCCGAAGCAGATGAATTCAGGACATGCCCATATCGGACTGCCTTCTTTTTCACCAAACGGAGGCTCCACTTGGATCCAACAAGGGAAGCAGTCCATGATGGCTTGACGAATGATGTGCTGGCAGTGTGCCAGGAGGCCGGCAACATATCACAGAAAGCAGGTCGAAAGTTCGCCACTACACCTACGACCTACGCGTGGTTCTTGTGTCGTGATTCTCATGCCCAAGAACTTATGATGCTTCACCTCAAACATCAACTCCATGGAGGGCCAACCAGGAGAATCATCCCATGAAACATCGGAAAACTGCCCTGAATCGGTCATCCTTACACTCTGTTGATCCACGTCAGTTTGACCAAGACCTGCAAGATGCTGCGCGCATCCGGTTGAAGTCGATCGCCCAATTCAAAACAGTTACAGCTGGATGCAGCGGCAACAAGCAGTGAAAAAAGCACAGGCACATGTGGCGGCCAGTCTCTATATGTCAGAGTTTCTGCCCCAAACAGGAAACAATGCAAAGCAAAAACAACTCTGCAAAGCAAAGCTGCCAACAGAAACTGCTCCTTCTCTGATGGCGAGTCGCTGGTTTGGATTCCTGGCGAGTCGCTGACCCGAGAGAGGCGTTGCGTTGACCCGTGGGCCCGAAAGGCGTTGCCAGGACACGGAGACACATGGAGATACTGTATAGGTACTATGAGATACTATGTGCCACACAGTAGGTATGTGACATGTTGACACCTGTGCTGCAGACAAATCGCATTGTGCTCACCTAAGGGGCAACGTTCGTGTCCAGTTCTATCTTTTTCTCAGCATGGCGGGCTCGTTCGTCCTACGACTCCCCGAGAGTCTCAGCAGTCCGAGGCCGCTTGGCCGGAGTCTCCTCAAGCCCATCCTCCGTGTCTTCCTCCACAATGTTTGCACCTGGTTGCCAGAGTTGCAGCAAATGGTCCTCCCCCACGGAGCAGAACAGGAAATCATCCAAAAAGCCCCATCCAAAGTCATTCACACCCCCTTGATGTCCACTATGGACGAACAACGCTTCTGGATCGGTGTCCTCCTCCTCAACTCGAGTGCTCGAGGATAAATTCCACACAATCACCTTGCTGTCGCCCGAGGCTGAACCGAGCAGGTGCTTTCTGGGAGTTCCTCCCATGTCTCCATCCCCTCTTGGACACCATCGCACTTGTAGGACCTCATCCTCGTGGCCTTTCAATGACTTCATGGGAGCGTGTGGCCCTACATGTCGAAGGTCCCAAATGTGAACAAGGCCATCCTTCAGGCCAGTCAGAAGTAAGTGCGGATCGTGTGGGTTCCAATCGACACTCAAAGGCTCGGCACTGGTTCGAAAGCTCAGTGTCTTTGCCTGCGAACGATGATCCCAAAGTGCAACAATGTTATCGTCTCCCACTGTGGCAAACTGATGGCCATGAGGTGAATAGCATGCATCATTCAAAGCACCTGAGTGGGCAAGGGTTGACCACAGGGGCTTTGAGGGACAGGCCTTCGACACATCCCATGTGTGAAGCCATCCGTCATTACCTCCACTGGCCAAAAATTCACCTTGCCCGTGGCTCCACGCTAAGGCAAAGCCCTCAATGGGCCTTTGATGCTCACCCAGTTTACACTCGATGGGCTGGTCCGGCTTCTTAAGGTCACAAAGCCACACACTTCCACAACTGCCCTTCACCGCAATCATCGAAGCCTGCGAGGGGCAAGCGGCAATTCGATTCACATCAGACTCGATGGTCATCTCCGCTGCTAAGCGTAAGGGAGCATCTCCTTGAATGGGCTTTAGGCCAAAGCCATTCATTATCCCAACCTGCTCCACAGTCCAGCTAGTCCAGGGTGAATCATTGGCGCAGTTCTGAACTGCACAAGTGAGCTCTAAAACGTAGACTTTGCCTTAGCAACGCTCAATTTCGCCCTTTGACGAATACCTGGTTACCAGCCCCATCTGATGCCAAACATGATTGCAAGCTTTACAGGGCAGGCCCGAGTGTCATGCAGCGCGCCAGACCAACATGATTAGATCACACATGATCACACCAACCAGTCGTGGTTTGCAGGGTCCATGTTTAGTCTTCCGACGGGTATAGTGGTTTCAGAATAGATGGCGCAATCCCCAAGTTTGGAGGTTTCTTTGGATCACCATCTAAAAGTTGGTGCCATCTACTCTGACACAACTGTAACTTCTGAGGTACTGGGCTCGGTCTCGTTGGTTCGGGTCCCCAGCGCCAGCTTGGTCAACTCGCCCTCCACGTCAGCGAGCCAAGCCACCGTCTGCCCAGGCCATTCCAAGTCGCCTGAGACGCACCGTCGGTCGCTCCGGTGCATGCATCGACGCACCGCCAAGCGCTAGAAAGGCCCTTCTATGCTCTTCTGGTTCTGAAAGGCCAAACGCTGCTAGTTTGCAATGTTTCTATAGCTTCTCTAAGCATGACATTGGGAATCATCTTTTGAAACCTTACGACCCATTCCAGGCGACAGCGGCTTGCAAGGTGAGTTGCAAGTCCTGAAGGCTGTGTTTGTTCAATTGTTGAACTGAACCGGGGGCCATGTGATTCAATGTTTTGTGGCCACCATTGTCGCATATGGGTGGCCACCATGGCCATACAGCCATTGGATTCCACGAGTGCCCACCTCCAAGTGCCCCAAGTGAGGGGGAGCACCGGTCCACGCACCATCTACCGTGGCCTTCCACGAGTGAAGAAAAAACATCTCAATTGAACTGTCCATCACCTTGAAGATTGCAAGCCAAAATCTCAACGTTGTGCTGGAACCCTCAGGCATTCTCACAGTATTTTCCGCAGAGCTACAGTATTTCTTCAACCGATGTGCGCGCGCAGAAATTTGACATTTATAGATGCCATCTGCTCAAATATGTGTGTAAAACGACCAAAGGGTTGACATTTCCTATTCTTGACCCCGAGTGGGGAGTTGCAGGATGGCCACAAGCGAACACAGAACTTGCCCAGGGTGAGGTCCATATATACAGTCCTCTCCTCTCCTCTCCTCTCCTGTCCCCTCCACTCCTTTCCTTCCTGCGCACTTACGTTTTGGCCTATTTGCTGGTTTGCTTTCATTTGGGTTGGGCTGCTTGCAGGCGGGCTGCTTGGCATCTTGTTTGCTCTTGAGTTTGTGGATGTTTGGGGGGTTCGGTGTGGTGCCGTTCTTCCTTCCATGCTTGCTTGCTAAATGTGGACAGCTCGTTTGCTTTTTGTGCACGCCGGGGAACCAACAAAAGCATCATGACAGTACTGAGCAGCGGCAGAAGCACGAGGAAACAAAACAAACGATGGTGACAATCTAAGCGGGGCACATCAGAAGCGACATAACAAAGGGGTAGATGCAACGCAAACTCGACCGAAAAACGGATCTGCTGCAAGTTACTGATAAAAACATATCCTACTCATGGTGCAAAACACGCTTCCAAAAGAAATTGTTTCTTCGGGTTCCTCCAAGGTGACTCCATTTGGCACCCGTTTTTGGCACCTTGCCGGTGAGAGGGCCATTGCTGATTCGCTGATTCACCTCGCTGATTCACCTTTGTGGACCGTCGATCACCATCCATATCTGTTCGCGGATGGATGGAAGCTGCAAATGTGCGCGCCTTCTTGATTGGTGCCTTTGTATCATCTGGGGTGACGTTGTATTTAGGGTGACGTTCAAGTTGCATCTTTTGCCCTGCCCGCCTTCGATTGTGCTGGTTCCACTTGGTCCGCCCGTCTTGCTCAAAACGATGAGTTGTTGGTCATCTGTGGGGTTCTCGGAATTGTGGGATTTGCTTGTCCAGTTTCTCTTGTAAACCTCTCCCTTTTGACAACTTTTGATGCAGCTATGTGACACCCCTGCAGGGGCACCAGTTAATTTCAATATATTATACTTATATAACTAATTTAGTTATTATAAGTTATAATATATATATATTATACAGTATATATATATATGACTTGTTCAATCAAGTGCAGTGACGAAGGGGGCTTGCAAGAATGATACCGCCCGCGCAGTGTACTGCAGCATGCTGACTTGTTGGAAGGTTTTGTGTGGCCCCGTTTCTGTCAATTTATTTTGCTCCCTTGCTGTGCAAACAAATTGAAAAAAAAACAAACAACAATTTCTTGCCCGGCCTTCGCATTTAGTGACGCAGGATGTCAACACCTGCATTTTTAAATATGGGGCAACACTGCATGCATGTGGCTTTTCTTTTTCCAAGGAAGGCCAGCACACAAGAGAGCAGGGCCAGCGCATGCCAGCACAAGGTTGATCTGCAATGTAAAAGGCGGAAATGGCCCCTTTGCACCAAAACCAATGTGCGTTTACATCGCAACCGTTTCATGCAAATCAAGGGGGGGCGATAGAAGAGGCTCAAAAGTCTGTGAAGCCTTTACTGTGGCCAGCCTGTCAATTTCAGAATGACCTTCGCGCCAAAAACGCATCTTGAACTAAGGGTCAGTGAAGGCATGAATGTTTACCTTCATGGGTAGCAATGCCACGTTTACCTTCATGGATTGGACTCTAACCTGATCAACTTTTGATTTTCGAATGGTCTTGACTGCACTCAGGCAAGCACTGGCTACTGGCCATGACAACCATAAGCAAAGTCAGGGTTTCAACAAGCTAAAGTGCTTTTCTCAGCCAGCAAAGGAAACCACCCACTCAATTTGTGGGAAGCACGAACGCAGTTACTGGCCAAGTGATCGAATTCGAGAATATCGACGTTGAAGAAGGGAGCAACTAAAATGCCGGTGTGCCGCACGTAGTTGTATCATGTTGTATCTGGGCAAGGGCCTCGAGTCACGGTACTAAGACAGGGGCGGAAGAGATGATCTGCCCAGTGGCCCAAAATCGAGGACCCATAAACACTTTCCCGGCTAGTCGAGTACGTGTGAGTGCCACTCGCCAGCGGGAAGCTGGCTGGCGAACAAACGCGGGCAGTGGTTGGGAATCTCTCGAGGTGTCAGCCGAAAATGCTGTCAGTTCCGGTTCTATCTGCATGCCCGGAACGGGGCGACGCCGGACTCAAACTCGGTGTAAGTGACCAAGAGGGTTCAAGAGGGCCGACCAGTTTCAAGCAATGATCACTCTTCCCCCGGTTCTTCACTCTCCAGTAGCAAGTGCATCGCTAGTAACAAGGGCATTGCGGCATCACTGCTAGTAACAAGAAGCTACTCCAGAAGAGACACACTGGCCGTAGAGGTCGTACAGCAGTGGTGCGTTCCGGCGCCAAACCAATTGCTCGTCTAAGTCCTAACGGCGGCGAACGAGGTTAGAGAAACATACATTGCACATCATTGCACATAGGACTCAGTCCTGAGCCAAGTGGGAGAGGTCACCCAAATCCACATCCCGTAGCAAAATGCCTGTGTCATCTCCATCTCCATTGGTCATGGCGAGTGCGAAAAAAGCTTTGTGGAGGCCTTCTCCAAATTTATGCTGAAACTATCTGTTAGACGGTGCGCCACACATCTGCTGTACAATCGACCATTTCTACACGGGCCATTCTGAGCCATGCGAGAACTTTGGCACGTCGGTTCATGTCTTACAGGCCAAGAATGGCTGCGCTTGCGAAGCAAAATGTGCCATTTCACCAGCTCTGCACTGCAGCCTGTAGCAAATCGTGACAAAAGCATTGGCACCATCATGAACAACATTGAACAACTAGTAGGCAAAACAGCACAGCAAAAACATAAGTTCATATAAATTCAGGAAGACATGTTTGCCGTTTCTGTTCCGTCCAATACACAGCAACTCTTCGGGGTCCTTTTGAAGTTGGGCTGCATGCAAGCCGTTCGGGTCTGCAGTCATGCTTCGCAGCATGGCCATGCTTCGCAGTCTTGTTGTGCATGTGTGGCTATTGAATGTTTATTGGAACTCTAAAGAAGAAAGGGAGAGAAAGGGTCCCACCCTTTCAATCTCTGCACACTCTCATCATCTCTCATCGACCAGCCTTGGGCCCATCCACATGACTCACGCGTTCACATTGATGGTGCAGCATGGATTTTAACGAAAATAAACACTGTTTTTCTTTCAATTTGTACGTGCCGAGTTTCTGGCACATGATTTCGGCACATGTTGGTTTGACGTGGTTTGAGCCACTTCTGAGCAGGCTACAGGGCATGAAACAGGGTTTTCCTGGCTTGATTCGGGTGCTGGTGATCTCGGTTCCGATGCTGGTTTTCAGGGTCGGTTTGAGCAAAGGAGGCGGCCAATTTGGAGAGAATACCACTAGCCAAGCCTCAGGAACTCTGGGCATGACGCCCCGCTGAAACAACCGAATCCTGGCATGAATCTGGGCCATCTGGTCCACGCAAACAGACCGCCAACGCCATACGCGGAAATTTGGCCCATGTTCGTCGGCAGGACGCTCTGCAAGTCAGGTCTTCTTGACGCTGACGCAAAGACAACAGGAATGAACAAAGCGGACCAAACACCCGCTTCACGCTTAGCGTGAAATATGGAATATCTCACAGATCTCAGAGGCTTTAGTTACAGTAGACTCAACAGTTTCGCGTTTACTTACAGCGCTCCGCCACGGCACAAGCTGCAGCATATCTCAGACTATAAGTAAGGTAATTACTATGGCCATCAAACTGCAAGAAAATGTCGAACACGGATGCTCTGAGATGTCCGAAGAAGCCCTGACGGGCAAAGTTGTGGCATCTCAAGGTAAGCTGCCACCCCGCAGCGCTTGAGCAAAACAAGAAACCAAAGTAGCAGGAACAAACTGAACAGTCAGTAGAATCAGTAGAAGCAAGCACCTTTTCCATGTTTTGTACCACACAAGTGTGGTCAACCGCAACCCTGCAATACTTGTAACAAGCACTCTGAATTGAAGGTTGTTGTTTTTTTTTTTTAATTGCCCCAGTGTTCCCAGGCCGTTTCGAAAGGTGCCGAAACGGACCCCGACCCAGCCCTTCCGGGCGATTTCTTCCGCCACTCTCCATCAACAGAGCGCCCCAACAAATGCAGATTTGAGAGGCACAAGGTTTGAAACAGACCATTGGGAGACCTGCACAAACGTGAACATTATAGCATGTCTCGTCTATGTTGTTCGAGCCCAAAAGGAAGAGTGCAAAAACGATGGGTCCTCTGAGGATCCTACCGTTGTGGACACGAAGCTTTCAATTTCTTCGCATTGCATTGGTTGGGCAAAAGACGGTGCTTGATGAACAAGCACCATCCTTAGACCAGCTGAATGCCTGCAATAGACACAAATGCGTTTGTCGACAAGAGCCATGAAGCACCAAGAAGGGAATGGAGGCAAACATATCTGCAGGAAGATGCAAACACTCAAGGCCAATCAAAGCAAACAAACACATGCTGCCAAGGAAGGAAACGTGAATGTAACACATGCATTATCATGCATTAATTAGGCACAACTTGTGGCTGTGCAACAAGCATGAGTGAAACAAGGAGCCAAACAGGCAAAGTGAGAGAATCCGACACGTGATCAAGCAGAAAAACATCGCAAGCAGCTAGCCAGGCAAAATTCCCAACGAAATCCAAACGCAATAAACATCAAATCCATAAACAAACACTGCTTGAAAGATCTTGAAAGACTTTTGGATCAAACATGCGCAATTAGCCCCTGGCAAGAAAGGTCACCCTATGACTTGGCGCACGGGTGCTACCTTGTTCCCCTTCTTAAAAGGGTTGACATTAGACTTGTATGTGACCATGATCTTGCCATCTTGCCCCTGTGCAGCACAAGTTTGAAGCACCTTCCAACCTAATAGTTTCATATCACGTCATATGTCTTTCCAGGAAAAAAGGTCACGAGTTTCGGGTCTTTGATTGTGGAACACATAATAAAGTAACTCTGCCTGGCTTTGTTTATGGTGTTTTCGCCAGACTGCTGTAGACCTAAAGGTGCCTCCTCGGGTCCCTGTTGGTGTATTCTCCGTGGGCCGTGAACACAGCTCCCCAACCTGTGTGAACTCCGTCCGACTCCGTCCGAGGAACTGTGGATCCGGTTTGATCGAATGCGGAATTCAGGTATTACTTGGATCTATCCATCCTACCTGTAACAGTGGATGATGATGGTTAGGTTGCAGGCCGACAGTTCAAAAATTGTTTTTTTGCTTGTTTACTGACCGTTACAGGTAATATGACAAACCCAAGGTCCAAGGTATTGTGGTTTCTTGAGTCTTTGGTGAATCCACCAGAGCAGGGCCGACCCGGTAGGTCTTCACATTGCTCCGGTGGGCACCCGCACGAGACCACAAAAGTCTCGTGGGTTTTGGTCTCGTCGTCTCGTGTTCAGTCAGGCCGCTTGATAATTTTGGATCTGGCGTGGCCACCTTTGTCGCATTTGTATTTTTTAACTATATAGTAGCAGCAAATGTTATCATCGTCATCGTCAGCAGCATCCCTGGCTTACAATGTTATCTTTAGCAGTCTTCAGCCAGGCTCAAGGCCTGCACTGCGAGAGGCAACAATGATGCAATCATGTGCAATGTCTTTGACCAATGCACGATGCGTTTGGAGACACTAGGATTGTTGGCGAGGGCTTTGGGCGGGTGCCCCACGCTTCACTCCCAGTGGGAAAATGATCAGATCAGAACTTCTCATGGACAAGAGGCGCATCACCGTCAGTGGGTTCAGCTAAGGAGTTGCCATCCGGAGATGCAGTTGAATCGTCCTGGGCCAGTGGCGTCCCTCCGGCCAGTGAAACAGGCGCTCTCTTATATGCAAAGCCAGTTTGGGCGAATCGGATCGTTCGGATGTCCAGTTTGAACTCTTAAGATCCAAAAAACCACAACCACAAAACCACAAAACCAAACCAAACGGGCAAATACTGAACCAAACCACAAGGACAGCGAGGCAGGGTACGAGCACAGAGCCTTTGCAGGGTAGCCCTGACGTTCGCGTCCAATCCTTGGCCCTGTTGGACCATGGACGGACAGCCCATATCCGGTTACATTGGAACAAGTGGCGTCCCACAGTGGTCCCACATACTGTCACATGTTTGCATGGGACAATACTGGAAGGAAATAAGGACTAGAAAGGCCTCAGTTATGGGACAATTCCTCCGGGAGAAGCCGCGATCCTGGGTGTTCAAGATGTTGGCCATATCATCCTTGCCAGTTTCTGCTTCTTGTGACAGCCTTGCGCGGACAAACACAGGCCAGATAATGCATTCTGTGAGCCCGCATAAATATCACATGATGGCACATGTTTGCGCGAACATGCACTGCAAGGACGCGTGCTAAAACAGCGTGCGAACACATGTTAATAAACATGCATGTCTAAAAGTATATATATATGTCTTTGTTTGTGTTGGCGGGCAGTCGCGCTTCATGGCACCTTTGACGCCATCAAAGCATCAGAGTGAGACACAAACGTGGAAACACAAGGTTTTGGTGTTACTTGAATCTTCACCGGCCAGAAGTACGCAAAGCACTATAGGCAGACAAAAAAGGCCAGTTACATAACCTTTATTAGAAAAAAACTATGCGGGCTGCGGGCCGGTCTGCAATGCTGATCACCTCCCACGGACACCCTCCGGTCTGCAATGTTTGCCTCGTCCCCTCCGGAGACACTCGGGCCTGATGCTCGTCTCCAGCTGTATCACTTTGTCTTTCAAAGGTTGAAGAGTTGCCGTAAGCCTCGAGGCTGCCTGGTTTGCACGGAGCTCTAAATCATTCTGCGTCGAGGAGTAGCTTTGCGGCACAAATACCACAGCAATCTCTTGGAAAAGAGCGCGGACAACCTTAGAAAGGACTCTGAAAATCTCTGAGATGCGACCTTGGGTTTAGGCCAATTTCGCAAGGCTCTTTACACACATTTCCACCATTCAACTTAGCCCCAACTGCAATTCTTCTGCGGATCGAAACCGTAAACAGCTGGTAATGCAAGCCAACTTGGCAGTGACAAGTGCTGCCAGAGCAAATGGGCTGTTCTACATGCAGCTTGGTGGCACACGCATACCGCTGCAACCTGGGCCGCTGAACGACAAGTACGCCCCCAAAACAAAAAACCAACAACACACACATATATATATATATATTTAGCGCTATATTTATATACACGTATATAACATATACATATGCATACAGTATTGCATAATGTAAATTACAACCAAAATGTGACAAAGACCTGATTGAAGTGCAGAAAAAAACATTGAAAAACACTGCAGCAGCTGGCAGGTTGTTTCCAAACCACCATGGGATCCAAAATGAAGAAACTTAAACTACCAAAGCTGGTGTTTGTTTTGCAAATCAACTCAGGTTTTATCCGCCAAGCACACGAAGCATCACGCAAACAATTGCAAAACAATGTTGCTATCGTTGCTCCAGGCCACTGCTGCTCATCCAGGTGTGAGTTGCTGCGAAGTTGAGTGAAAAAGGCATCCGAAGGCATCATGAAGGCATCCTCTGCGATGACAGGAATCCTCGGCAATGACAGACACTCTGATGCTACCAAAATTTCAGCCAATATCATTGCCATTCCTGTGTGCGTTGGATGCCCTAATTGACTCTGGTCTTGCGCAAGTCTCACAAGGGGTCCAAGAAGCGGTGGTTCGCAAACAGCACTGTGCAAACTCAGGCAAGTCAGCCAAGCAGCGCGTGTCAGGGAAACCGGGAAACCGCCAAATGTTCCACAAAACTGTCTGAATATGTCTGAATGCCGGCTAGGTATCAACCACACCTTACATCATCTCGAAAAAAGGGAGCTACAGTAGTAAGCCGAAAGGCTGTAAAAAGGTCAGTTCGGAGTCTTTAGTTGTCAGCAAAGACCTTGATTCATTGGCAATGCTTTCATTCTAACGTGCAAGTCTTATCCCTTCTAGATGATGTCCTTGAGGCTGTCGACGATTCCACTCCCTGTTTGCTGCTCGTGAAACATCATGAAGACACATTGGGGCCCTGGTTGAACAAGTGGAAAGCAAATTTAAATAGAACATCCCTACCCCTTCCTGAGGGGGGACGTCGAAAATTGTAAGTTACATTTTCCTGTGCGGAGGGCCTCAAAAAATGTAATTACATTAACTTTGAGGTGGCCTAAAAAAAGGTAACTTACATTTTTTAGGCCTCATGGGTGATTTTTCAGGGAAAGACCTCAAAAATGTAAGTTACATTTTTGAGGCACGGTGGCGCGCTTACATGACCCCCTCCATCCCCACACTAATTTCTGCTCACGACCACGTCCCGCATGATCAACTGCGGCATTTCAAGGAAATGCCTGCCCAAACATGTCAGCCGTCAGCCATCAAGTTGAATGATGCTGCCCGCGGCCGGCTGCATCATTAGCATGTTTTGGACTGAAAAACAAATATATTGAATATATATATATATATGTTTTTTTAACAATTCTTTTTGGCCGGGGGGGTCTTCCATACACAACTCCTTACTCATATGCCCCCCACATACGCTTCGTGGACATTTTTAATGTACATCCATGTTAGGAGTTCCTGTGCCCACAATACACACTCATCAGAGGCACATGTTCCTGCTTCTTGGCAGTTTGCTCTGGGTGTGTTTCCAGTTCTTCTTTGTTGATGATGACTCAGACCCACTGCTGTTCCCTCATCTGCTCTTTCTAGCAAGGAACAAGCAGCCAGGGCAAAAACATAGCAGTGATTCTGCTCTGTTGTGCGTGGGTTTTGTTTTGGCATCCTTCCTTTGGGGTCTTGCTTTGTGTGTGTGGCTGTTATTCTTGGTTGGTGATGATTCATCATGTTTGCCTTCTGCAGCAACAAGCCACACAAAAACAAAGCAGATGAGGGAACAGCAGTGGGTCTGAGTCATCATCAACAAAGAAGAAAAGGAAGCACACCCAAAGCAAACTGCCAAGAAACAGGAACATACATGTTCCCACTGAAAACCCCAAAGGAGGGCAACAAAGCGAAACCGAAACATAACAAAGGACCACACTCCATACACAATAAACAATAATGGAGAACAATAAAGGAGAGGCCGCCTGTTCTATTGGGCAGGAGAACAAGGATATTCAACGCCGTTTGATCCCCTGGTTTCTTGGCCCCTGCTTGCGGTTCGTGCGGTCGGACGTGTGCGATTTTCAGTATGCTAAAATGTGAGTACCTCGGGGGGACACCCCAGTTCCTTGTAAATCCTGGGGAGTTGGGCATGTGGCCAAAATGTAAGTTACAATTTGTGAGGTCTAACTTTCTCACAGAACCCATGTATTCCCTGTAAAATCTGAGGGTTTGGATGCGTGGACTAATTTGCACCTTTTGCCTGTGTCCTGGTCCTGCATTTTTGGAGGCTATGTGTTCCTTGGTGTTGAGGCATCAGCAAACAGTTGCCAAATTATATCTTTAGTTAATTACATTTTTTCGAAAAATGTTTCATTAAATGACTCCCACCCCCAAATAGTTTCTTAGTGATTGGCGTATCTTCGATCTGCCAACGCACCCCACTTCGATCTGCCGACCCGCAGTAAGGGGGGGGGTTGTAAAATGTAAGTAAGCACGTCCCAGGCAACAAGTTACATTTTTTTGCCCCCCCCCGTTACCCGTTTCGATGGTGCCTGGGGGGGTGGTAACTTACATTTTTTGACCCCCTATAGGGGGGTACCCTAAAATGTAACTTACTTGTGAGGTCCCCTCCCGGCAGTAGCTTAAGGGGGTAGGGATAATAGAACTAATTGCGCTAAAAGGACACTCTCAACGTTGCGCCAGGCACAACCCAGGCAGCTAAAAGGTGAAGCGGCGTGCTCAAACAAGACTTTTTCACCACCATGGCACACAGCGGTGACAACAGGATTGGCAAAATGATCCTCGAGGATCCTGCAGCGGGAGGTGCCCAAGTGCGCAACTAAAAAAAAACATGACCAATGCTTTTCCCACCATAAAATTGGCACTGGTATTTATGCTTTTGGTCTTTCAGGCTGGAGGGTTACGGCAGCGAACTCTCTGAGCTTTACATCGAACTTCGTAAGACTGACCCAGTGGTTAGTCCTGCACTGCGCGGACGTTGATGAGAGATCTCTTGTCTGTGGTGATGGGTGCCTCGCTGATGACGCAGTGGCGGCTTTGCATCGGTGCGCTGGACGAAGTTCAGCTTGCAACCGGCTCTATGTGCAGGAATGTTCTAAAAGATCGCAAAGCATCATGTTCGCATAGGCCGCCCGATCTGTTCCTTCATCTGCAGTCGGGCTCGCTGAGGCCAGTGTGCTCCTGCGCGCGCCTCACCAGCACCGATCCAGGACATTGACCAAGGTCAGAGACCATGGTCTTGCCTCCGCAGTTATGGAGGGTGATTGTAGCCCCGCAATCCATTGGAGGACAGCGGCCGCGACCTTGAGCAAAGGTGCCTGACTGAAAGATGCTCACGGTGAGTTCTTACCATGCTCTATCCTTGAATTGTGACAGGAGCGTCTTCCTGGGCCTGTTTTGTTTCCCCATTTGCAGACTGAATTGACTTCAACTCTTTCCACCCCGATGAATCGCCGATGAAGACGTCAATGTAGACACGGATGGCCCACTGGAGTAGTTTTGGTTGTCGACTTCAAGAGGAGCATTGGGTCGTACCAAAGTCCCAGCCCTTGAAACAATGGCTTCCTGGTATGGTGCTCTCGAGCGGAATCATTTTTGGCAGAGAGCGAGCAAATGACGTACATTTTGATTTTTGGTTTTGCAGTCATTTGCAGCCACTTGCTCAGGCAGCCACTTGCAGCCACTTGTCACTCAAGCAAGTAAGTTTCAACACTGTACTTTGAGTTCTTTATGTAAAAACTGTAAGATTTCTTCGTCGCTAGCTCTGCAGAAGATTAGAATCTATTCTCGGAAAAGTCTTGGATTATGATTATTTCTTCGCAGAACAGCATTGCAGAAATATTGGTTTTCTTCAGAACTGCATGCGGAGAAATCATGATATTCTCCGGACAGACGTAGCAGTCACTTGCAGCCACTTGGCAGCCACTTGCAAGTAGCTGCAAGTGGCTGCAAGTGGCTGCAAAATGGAAAATCAAAATGCGCACCTCCTGCGAGCTCAATGATTTTTGGACCGTCATCGAGAGGTTCGATGGATTGCCGTCCCATCCAGGCTTCTTGATAGATTGCTCCAAGGATGGTTTTGACATGGTGGCCTTATAGTTTCTCCTCCATGTAGCTCTCGGTCGATCTGCTTTTGCTCCTCTCTGGTTGCTCTTGGCTGCCTGCTTGCCTCTTTGGAGTTGTTTTATTGGTTGATAAGTCTGCCCTGCTGTCGGACTCTGCACCTTTGTTGTGGGCCCTCCGCTCCTATACCCAATGAACTTCAGGCGGGCACAAGTCATGCCGGGCGGGCATGATAGTGCTCATGCCGTCTGTCCAAACATGGAACTCCACTCATCTCTGCCACTGTCTTGGCCAAAGCTTTGTCAGGGCCCTCAACATCTTGGTATCCCCGGATTCGACCAAAGGGTTGGCTAGTGTCTCAGCCGCATGTTGCGCAGAAAGTTGCCCTTTGGGTAAACCATGCCATCGGGATGGTAGCTGCTTTGGACCAACGTCATCAACTTTTGTGTCACAACCTCCAACTCCGATCGTTCAAAGGCCTCTTCAACAGCATCAGGAGGAGGGCCTCTAGGATGGCAGCTTCGTCTCTTCTTCGGCCTTCTGGACTTGTGACTTCCGGACTGGTGGTGGCGCATGAAAGGCAAAGTTCACGAGGGACAGTGGCCCGCTGTCGTTCCACTGCAACGGGTGACGGGTCACCGCCGAATTTTTCTGCAACGGAGCTGCGTTGCAAACAAGGCCCGCGTGAAGCGAGAAGCATTCATCATCCTCGAACACCTGCTCAGGCAGGTTTCCAAAAGGGTGGTTGGGCTCATAGTCATGTCAAAAGCCCCAAGGTCACCAGTCGTCTCGCCTGCAGGGTACACAAACTCTCTCCGTCATCATCGTCACCCAGGAAAGAACGGGAAAACAGCAAGGCAAGGCTCCGGTGCCAACTGAACAACGTTGGATCCGGCACAGCCCAAGCAGCAAAAAGGTGAAGCGGCGTGCTCAAACAAGACTTTTTCACCACCATGGCACACAGTGAAAACGTGAAAACCGCATTGGCCACAGGATCCTTGAGGATCGGGAGCTGCGGGCTGCAACCAAATACCGTCACCTGTGAAGAGCCTACGACAGGCGGCCGCATGTCCCATCCTGTCCCCCCAGTCCCCGCATGGGTCCATCTGGTCTACCTGTCGCCAGGGCACACACAACACGCTTCCCGGCGAGACGCTTGCAAAAGCCTCATCCAAATAGGATTGCACAAAACGACAAATATCTCACATATAAATCACACAAAACAAATGTAGAAATACACAAGTTTGTTTTCCGTCCTTTCCTCGCTTCATATTCCTTCATTTTGCTTCCTTCTTTGTTCAACATATTATTCATAAAATATGCCTTTGATCTCCTACATTCTTGCTGATACATCTGCAGCATTCTGCAGTACAGTACATCTTTCGTTCCTGCCATTGGGACATGTGTCTCACATTCGGGTGGGCAGTGGGCAGGGGTTGTCCTTCTGTTGCGTCACCACCTGCAACACATGTGAGCAATGGCGAAACCCTGAAAACGGAGCACGATGCAAACCCTGCTGGCCCTCCAGGAGGCACAAGCTGGGGTGGATTCCTCACAAGAACCTTTGACTTTGGACAGCACTGCGGCTGCGACTCCGGCTTTGTCCCTCTAATACGGGCTGAGGCACCATTCCTGGACGTGCTCTGATTTGAAGCAGTTATTGCCACAAATGATCAACGAGAGCGTGGCCTGCTCGGGCACCTGCAAATAGTAGCTTCTTGTTCCTAGTAGCGATGCCCTTTGTTACAGTACTAGTAGCTTGTTCCTAGTTGCCATGGCCTCCAACCTACTAGCGATGGCCTCCACCTAGTAGCTTCTTGCTACTAGTAGAAATGCCCTTGTTCATACTGCCGGTTCTTGTTAACCCGTAAGTAAACAATGGAGAGGAGCCTACTACCGGGACCCACATTCCGAACGTACTCCCGCTGCGGGCTGGCCGGTCCACCCTCGGCTGCGGGCTGCGGGCCTCTGTGCCCAATTGCAAAATGGAAGGGAGAGGGAGGTCTGTGCCCAGGAGCCGCGGTTTCAGCCTCGAATCGTCCCAAAAGTGCGTTCAAGCGCGTTTCTTCGAGCGTCCGCATGCCAAGCAGTAGAAATTCTATCATTCACGAAACAGCCTCCTCGCAACAAAAGAAATTCAGCCCCGCACAGGGCAACAACCCGCAACAAACCCACGATTTCTATACACAGAATTATTGCACCTTTTCCTTTGAATGACTTCTGCCGCCCATCGACATTATATTGGCCTTTGTCAACCAATCGTAAAAACCCAGTGCCTTATGGCCTCCGCCCATCTCCTCTTTTGGGGCTCCGCTTCGTCAAGCTGCAACACAGAAAGGACCATCGCTGTGGCAATGCATTCTCCATCCAACGGGTCCACTAGCACAGGGAAGTCGGTGGCCCTCTCATCTCCAAACAAGGAAACCCCCTTCCTTAGTGGAGAGGAGCGTCTCGGATGGTGGAGAGCCTTTGGTTGTTTTCGCCTGACATGGAGTTGGCCCAATGATGTTGGACATGTTGCGACGGGTTTTTTCTTCAGGAACAGAGATATACAAAAGGCTCCGTGTTGTGAATGGAGTTGGGCCAGCTCAGAACTGCGTCCTTCAAAGTTCTTGACAGACTTTTGAAGTCTTTGGCTCTGAGCCTTGGTCCTGCACAGTGCTGAAACCTCCCAGTGACGGTTCCCAGCGAAATGGAACACCAGTCCGCATAGATTCAACCGATTCACCGAATTCTTTCGGGGCCATGCCATCCATGTCCATGATTCGATGCAGGGGAGTGTAGCAATGCAGGGCACAAAGCAACCTGGCTATGTGCTGCCCAGCATCCGTGGCATCCTATCTTGCTCACTGGACATGACCATCAACTGTGAGACGAATGTGGCTGTTGAGCTTGGCGTGATCTGACCGGGTAGGGCCAACTGCTGCTGAGTGGAGAGCCACCTGAAAGTCTCCTCCACCTCTGCGAGGCTGATTTGATACCTGTCAGTATCCCCAAGTTGGGGCGCACATGGTACAAACACATGCCATCTACTCTCAGAGATGTCCAGAGCACACGGCACAAAGCCCAAAATGTCTGTTGGATGGGGATTGTGCCATCTACTCTCAATCCAATGTACAAACAATATCCCTTGGACACTCCCTTGGACAATGCATTTTCTCTCCCATACCAGCTCGCTCTCGACTGTCGGACAATGTCCCTTGGACCGCCAGCGAACGTGCCAGCTTGTCAGTAGCTTGTCAATCTTACCCCTTTGCACTGCCAGGAATCACAACACGCTGTTTTTCTTGTCTGATGTGTCCTATGTTTGACGTGTTCCCTTCCAAGAAGCCCTTCATGAATTGGAAGTGTTGGGGGAACCATCTCATTAAAGGATATCAAAGGCACAATTCCTGTGCCACTTACGCCTACAGTGCACACAGAGTTTGAAGGAGGCGAAGCACAGGCATGCGGGAGTGTGTTTTTTCTTGTTTGGGTGAGCTAGGAACAACATCGGAAGAAATGAAAAGGCTGAATTGGCTTGAGGGCATTGTCTAGAATCTAAGAATTTATGAGAAACCCTTTGTGGTGGCATAGTTGCAAATGTTGCTGGAATCCACCGGATGAGATGGGCATCAAACCAAACACTCAGACACAATGGGTATCACCACAACAACTCAAAGCTCCGAATCAAGCAGCTGCCAGTCATGAAAACATGCAAAAAGAACAATGAACGACAGTCTCCTGCAAAATACTGTAACTATATAATATAATTATATATATATATAAATTGAATAAAAAAATACAAAATAATTGTGCGTTATTGGGTCCAACTACTTGGCCAGCTCGGCAATGTCAGGCACCACCTTCGCATAATTCTCGATGAATGTTGCCTGAGCCATGTTTGGCACGCCGAACGCCAGCAGCTCCGTGAAAGCAACGACGGCTAGCATCATGGATGGGGTTGACTTCCAGCACCCTAAAGTCGTAGTATCTTCAAGGGAAGCCACATGGCGCCGGCTTAAGTGCCATCGTATATACTAGACAATCTGGCTCACTTTTAGCCCAGGCCGAAAGGGCTAATGTTTTCCTTGT